TAATAAAAATAATATTATATTAATATTAAAAAAATGGACAATTTAATAATTTAAATAACATATCCACCAATTTATTCTCCCTAACCAAACATATTAATATAATATAGCCACCAACTAACTAAACACATTTTCTTAAAGATTTCCAGTAATCTTCAAAGTAATATAAGATTCCAGTAATCCAACATTCCTAGTAATCTAGCATTTCCTAAACCAAACACCCCCTAAAGGAAATCAACATGCCAACAACAAGAAATTTGTTTGGGACAACCAAAACATGAGACCCCAATTAAAATGGGAAATAGACCTAAGTATCATCTTATTTCCTCTCTCATGACACAAACTTGATTCTTATGAAACACAATTTCCATCGTCCTTAAATGTAAAGAGAACATTCAATGCCACTATACTCGTTACACCAATTATGACAATTTTTCAAGCAACATTTTCAATGGGAATAAATTGCCAAGAATATGATCATAAACATCCTAAAAACGTCTCCCACTTTTGAGGAGGCCAATATTGTAAGGTTTTTCAAAAGAGGCCGACTAAGGGTAAGCCTAAAATCTGCACTCACCCTCTTTTTCATCAAATTGGTTCATTTACAAACTTAAAAGTATCAAACGATGTTAACGAATCTTGTTTTTTTTTTTTTGAAGAATAACAAATCTTGTTTATTGTACCCTCTTTACATTTTTGGCATAAACACATATTAATAAGATTTCATTAATAATTATATTATAAGTCCACAGAGTTATTCCGATGTATCAATAAACCTGAAGAGCATATTATGATTACTTCAATGGTGAAAAACAATAAACATGGACATATATAGAAGGAATTGGAATAGGGTTTAGGGTTTTTGTGTCAATTTTAATACATCACTTTGTTGTATTATATTTCATTGTGTCATAAAAACATTATATTATAATAAAGATACTGAATTTTGTGGAATTTATTAAAGATATTAGGAGAAACATAGTATGAGAGTTATAAAGTCAAATTGAAGATTATTATATAAAGCAACATGAGATAGATATTTAATAGGAGAAAGTGTGACATTTAATGCCTTTGGGAAGTGCAAATGGACATAATTCCTCCAACATAGAGGACCAACCGATATGGGGTTTTTCATATATCCCCCTGATATATTAAAGGCCCCCGAATTTACAAATTATTTATACCTCCCTAACTTATCATTTCTCATCAGGGGGTATCTCTCAGGGGTTGGGGAAAACAGAAAACCCAATAAACTTGTATCGAAGCTCTCTCAACATACCCATTTTTTTTAATCATCACATGCCGCAAATATCTAATAATATTCCGAATTATTTAAAATAAAAAACTAAAATTAAATTAAATTAAAACAACTTACCATATATAACATAACATTAACATCCAAAATTTATTTACCCAAAAATATTATTCACACTCTTCTCTCCCCCGATTACAGGTTCTCTTCTCACTCTCTCTCTCTCTCTCTCTCTCTATTGAAAATTTTCGATTCGATCTGAAATTCTAATCTCTGTTGATTTGCGATTCGCTGGCGGTTCGGATTCTAGGGTTTCGTTTCATCGCGGCGTGTTTGGTGGACTGGCGATTAGGGTTTTGCGGTGTTCAGATCTGAATTTGGTGGTCGTTTCGGTGTTTGATTGCGAGGATGTTTTGGCGTATGGCAGGATTGTCTACTGCGTCTCCGGTGAGTTTTCGTTTCTGTTTTGTTTATGTTTTGGCTGTTTCGTTGCTTGATTTGTGATCTGTTTGTGCATTTGTTGGTGCCTTTATGTTTACGTGGAAATAGAGTTCGTTGTTTGGATTACATTGGTTATGGATTGAGTTTTTGTATTTTGGATATGTATATTTATATGCGTAACTATTCTACTCGTTTTGAATTGAATGAATGATTAGTTAGGTTGTGGTGTGTTTTTGGAATAAATAGGAATCGACTTTGTGATCAAGGAAGTGTTTCTTTCGGCAAAACTGTAATGTGATAGTGATATGGTGAACTAAGTTAAGAGTGTTATCTGTTTGGATTTGATAAAATAGTTTATTGTTTTACTCTTTTTCATAGGATAGCTCGTCTCTTTTAGGAGATAGTAAAGACAATTATGAATTTTGAGAACATTAGAAATGTGTGGGTTAGCTGATGATGGGCAATTTGGGCTCCAGTTAATGAAGTTTACAGGGTTCTATAATGAAGCTATTGGATTGCTTAATTTAGATGCTAATGTGTGAATCATTCTGTAGGAGAACATAGGAACTTTATAATTTTGCGCTACATGTTGCGTGGCTTGCAGAATTAGTATTGTTCTCATAATGAGAGATATGTAGAGATAAAATTGTAATTGGTTCCTTCCAAAGAAATTTAATTTGCTACCAGGATCAGTAACTACGACTGTTCAGCATTTCCAAGCAAAGAAGATGAGAAATTTAAGAGATAGATTTAAGAAAGAGAAGGGAGAAACTACAGTAATGATTGAAACAATTTGAGGGAAATTGACTGATGCTTGAGTATTTGACCACCATTGATGCTGCATACTATTCCAGAATGAACTTCCAGTAACTTTTTTTTTCACGTTGTATTTTAACCCATTTATTAGTTTAAAGAAAAGAAAATTGGATAAAAAGAGTCAATTTTTTTCGCACTACACTTTGATCCATTTTGTCAGTCTCTTGGTTCTGGAAACTATCAACCTTCAGTTTTTCAGAAGAAATCTGTGAAGAGAGGAGATGTTTCAGTTCGCTTATCTTTTTGACTGATGTGTTGTCTATAACTAGAAAGCTAAAATTGGTCAAGTGGGATGAAGATTTGTACTTTGATGTTAGATCTATTCATGAAAAAAATCCAATTTCTAGAGCATCTCACATTCTTTGAAAATCTTTTGCTAAATGAGGTTTTAAAAGTACTGTGTTTCGTGCAACATGGTTTGGATCTTTTAGACTATTTCATCATAATGTATAATATGCCATCTCAGAGACTTCATCCCAAACCGGCTATGTATGAGGAAAGCTTTTGCTTGTCTTGTTATGATGGAAGCAAAACTTGTGGTTTTGCTTTAACCTGAGTTTTTCTTCATTCCATTTTTGGTCATAACACCTGCTTGTCTGTGTTATATTTATAACCTTGCTTATTCAGTTTTGGAGTTTCTAAAATTATTTATCCAAACTGTTTTTAGGATTTTTTTTTCCATTCATTTCGCCTTTTTTTTTTTTTTTGGGGTGTCCTAAATGCAGGTAGAGACAATTTTGGATAAGGAGAATTTCACATTGGAGGAGCTTCTTGATGAGGATGATATAATTCAAGAATGCAAAGCTTTGAATGGCCGACTTATAAATTTGTAATATATTTTTTAAACTTCTTCATGTATATGACATCTTTATGTATTTTGTCTTCATTTCTTTCATTGCTAATGAGTGATTGATTTCTTGGAACTTCTGCCTTCCGTTTATCTTTTACTTTTCCTTGTGAATTGTGTCTTTGCATTGTTATTGTCTCTCTGAGATCATTACTCTTCAATATATCATGATACATTAGGGTAATTAGCAAAGATTGATTTTGGAATACAGTTTTAAAAGTGGAAGTGTTATTCAGGGGTTGATTCATTTTCTCATATCTTTTAGTTGAGTTTAAAGTTAAATCAGTATAGACATAAAATAACAGAGTGAAGTATAATTAGTAGTGGTTTTTCTACAGTTCGAAGATCTGTAGAAATTAATCGTAACTATTAGGCTAACATGGTTGATTGTACTAAAAATCACAAATGAATAGCTATTTTAATTTAAGATATACGTCAGGAAATATTTGTTCTGAAATCTTAAATTGGCAACATAAAATGAGCACAGAAAATTTTGAAATAGGTGAACCATATTTTAAATATTGACTAGTTTGATCCAGGATTTATATTATGAGATTGCTAGAAATCCTTCTCTAAATTATATGATGATTTGGTGGACCTCAATTGAAAAAAGTGAAATGTAGCCTTCCTCTCTTTAATATAGTTGCAATTGGCCTCTTGTTTCCAAAGGAATGTTGTCAGAAAAAAATACTGTAATTATGGTGGGCTTTGTTGCCACAAATTATTTTAGTATCTGCAAGAGTTGGTTACAAAATGGTGTCTATTTGTCATGAAAGATTTACAATGAACTAGTTGTGTACTTCCTTGTGTGCTATGGCTGTGATCAATTAGTTTCTTTTCATTGATTTGCTGCTTCATTTACTGATGATTGCTCTATTTTCCCTTAGTTGATTGTTTCACTCAGTGCTTCTCGCGCACTAGGATGTTGCTCCTTAGCACCTTTAATGTAATTAATTTTAAAAATGAGGTATTTGAACTTACAGGATCTAAAGCTGCTTAATATTTTTCCCTTTGCTTTTGCTTATTTACATGAGGGATATTCCTTTTTGGAGTCTCCTAGCATTTTTGCCCGGCTTAAAATTCTAATCCCTTGCCAATCTTCAAGGCCTTTCTCTCATCTTATGCTTACTCATGAGAGTTTCTGTGTTTAGGATATATTGTTAACGCCTTGGTGCTACATGGATGCTGACTGCCCTTGGATAATGACTTCTAATATTTTTATTGACAATAATTATCTTAAGTATACAAGGAAGGATATCTTATTTATTTTCTTTTCTTTNCTAACCCTTCAAAAGAAATCAATACACTGAAATGAAGAAAAAAGATGCATAACATACAATACAAATTAGGAAAACATCTAGCCAGTATAGCCAAAAGAAATAAAGCAAAACCGGTAGGAAGAGAGTCCCACCACTAGCAGGAATTCAAACTCAAATCCCTATTGACTAAAGTATGTGCAGCAAAGTTCTCTTCATGAAAAGTATCGGTGAATTTAACCTTCATGGGATTAATCAACACAAAGCAATTGGACAACTTCACCAAAAGCTTCCATGGAAGATTGTACTCTTAATTGGAAAAACATTGGATGGAGGACATAGGACTCACTCTCAATCCATAAATATAGCCAACCAATTTTTATACCCCAAATCAATTGTTACAAGAATATCCATAAGCTCTGCATAAAAAGTAGACAAACCCAAAGCCATACAAGAGCCACCAAGACTTTACCTCTGAAATTTCTGAATACCAACAGAGGAAGCCGGTCTACATTTTATTCAGCAGTGACTCAAATTATTTTTTTATTTTTTTAAAAAAGAAAGAAATAAATCTATCAACTACTCAGCCCATCAATAGATGAAATACCAATCAACTGCAAAATTAATATTCTCAAGTTAAAGAGAAGGACAAGCATGTGAAAAAACCAACTAGAATACAAACCTTAAGAGATATTCAGCACAATGAATTCCTGTGTCTTTCGAAATTAGGTAATCAAGAAGCACTTGATGATCATAGTGTAACTGCATAAAAGATAAGCTCATAATGTGCTCATTTTTCCATTTTGATAATTTAGAAGAAATGCCATATTATACAAGACTCGCCTCTGCAAGAAATAGATGGAATAGGTGTACAGGATTGAAAACGTGTGACAGGTGAAAAAGAATATCTTCCTTTACATCCTGAAAACTCCAATTCCTTCTGTCAACACTACATCCAATCCAAAAGTCTGTTAAAAGAGTACCTAATACGTTCATTCAATGAAAAAGCATCTAGAATTTTTTCCTCACTTTTTCTTTCCACAAAATGGTACATTAAGCAATTGTAGGAGCATTTTGAACAATTCATCGTCCTGTAGTTTCAATGGACAGATAAAACAGTAGAACTTAGAACACTAAGAGAGCATAAGTAGGAGAAAAAATAAAACAAGTAAAGCATAATATTATGCACCACTCAACAAAGAGACAGAGTCAAACTGACAAAAATAGAACAACTGCCATCACATATGCCTTTTGAGTAGAATTTGCATATAATTTGATCATATGATGATTTTTTATATGGCCAAAATTTTTCAATGTTTCAGACAGATGAATAAATTGCCTCAATATATTTATTAAGCAGAAAGTACATGCTCTTTCACATGAATTAGCAACCTTGACTCAAGTCACACGACACAGCCACAATTTGGAATTAACCGTGACCACCACTTTCCTCACAATAGATATTATTTGAGATGAGAAAAAAACACAAATGGATATTATTTGAGAAGCATGGATTTCTATCAGCGGCAGAAACAAGAAATTATGTTTAGGGGCAAGGTGGTTAAAATGTAATGTTTAATGAATGAGGGAGACAAAAGTACACAAAATTTATTTAGAAATTGCATTTACGGGGGACAAAGGTAAAGTTTAACAAATAAGGGGTGCACAGAAAAAATTATAACTTTTAGAGGATGAAATTGCTATTTTATAAATGAAATCTTAAAATTTTTGTAAGGTCTGCAGTCCGCCACTGATTTCTATACAACTAGACAATATTATACAGCTCCTTAATGTAGAAGATTATTGGAAAAAAGGGTAGGAAATGTGATTACAGTAATTAAATTTAAGGCAAAAAATTTATCAAGAAATGTCATACAATCTTCGTATCTCATAGAAAAGCAAACGGAAAATTGCTTTGGGGACAGAAGACAAACCTCATGCATATATAGCTGGAGGAAAGATAAGGAGAAGTTAATACATTTCTCCATGTACGTTTCATGCTCCACAAGTTTATCTAAGGGAAGATGCCCTTGAAGCCACTTATAAAGCTCTAGCAAACCTTTCTTTCTACCACAACAATCTAAATCAGAAATTGTGTCAAAGGTCAAGCAAGAGTCAGCAGCTGAACATGCACAATGCTTTTTGGTGTCTTCTTTCAGGCTGATTAAAGTGAAGGAACACCTCAGGAAAAGGAAAACAGCTTGTCTCTGTAAGTGGCGTGAACACATATTATATAACTCTCCATCAGTACAACTCATTAAAAATGGAGAGCCTTCTAAACAATCATCCTGAACAGACTCAACTTGAGTCATAGGTTGCTGCAACAGCTCTTTAAAGTAATTATGAAGAAGCTGCAACCATGAAAGAAGAATGCAATGATCTAGACGAGCATGGAAACTCAGCCTAATCAATAGAACCTGCAAATGTTTAGTTGGACTAATAAGAGTTATATTATATAACAGAAATAACTTGTCCTGAATCAGCGGCATAATCAAATAGATTTGCACTTATACTAGCATGTAACAAATGTAATCAAAACAATTGTTACCATTCATTTTATTCAACAAGAAGATAGATGAAAATAACTATTCGCTCTATTCATGGTACATGAGAAGGTAAATGTTTTGGATCCTTCCTTAAGAGTTTAAGAAAAGGATAAAGAATTGAAACTTATTTTATTAATATAAAATTTTCAGAATAGGTAATGATGTTCAGAAAACAATAACTTTAGAAAAACAATGGCACAGCAAACAATACAACATCCAAAATAACTGCTGCATTGCATACAGTAAAAAGCCAATCAGCAGATTTACGGATGCTACCTTGAAATAACAATATTTTATATGTAAAATGTTTCTCCAATTTTGTGGCACTAGTGTCTAGCTCCTTGCTTTCTTTTATTTCTTTACTCCACAAATCAGAAAATATCTTAAAAAAGTCTTTCTAAACGCAACTAACCGCGCTCTTAGAAGCTTCCAACCACCAATACTTCACTATATTCCAACATAACCTTTTCCCAACCAAAGTTATTGAAGAGCATTTTAAAGACCCAAATCTCTAGATTAATCAAGAAAAATACTAGATAAACTCTTACCAGCAACTTGTGTCTAAAATACTGAGAAATGCGAGTTCTAACACATTCTCCTGGTTCATTGAGGCACCAAAACAAGAGTTTTGGTACAAGTTTGTTGACTACACTAAGAATCAGATACTTATCCAGGGAAGAACCCATATCATCCACAGAACTGATATGCTCAACCAATGAACACAAGAACTGAATAATATTCCCTAGAAACACAACCTTTGACTGCTCTTCATCAGCAGTTCTAAGATGTAAAACACCTGCAGAACAACTACTTTGAGTACCACAAACCAAATCCATGGAATCCCAAGGCACAGTTGAAAGACAAGAATAGACTGAATGTAAATACGCTTCAGTGAGACTATCATCATAGTCATACTCTTGCTTCAAACTTTTCAATATGTTCCGTAAGATTCGAACAATTCCAGCCAAACTTGACCACCCAGCATATTTCAATCTAGGTTTTATGACACCTACAAAACTAGATGAATCAAAATGTGAATTGCCCGATTCAGCTCTAAAAGGTGCTGAAGCAATGGACAATATATTGATAATTGCCAATTCCATGCAACAAAACAAGGAACGAATAAGAAGATTCCAGTTGCTTCCCTGCAAAAGAAATAATACTAAAACCATGAAGCTACCATCACAATAATCTTCACATGTACAAATACAAAGTAAAATATGATATATTGGCATACAGATGTAGAAAGAAGCTCAGAGATAACCACTAGAATGTTGGCAGCCAGATGTTGAACAAAGTGACTCTTAACACCAAGCAAAAATACCTGCAACAAAACACAAAACATGGAGACCTCAAATGTGGTTGTGAACCATCGGTCACTGTTTTCATATACTATAGAATTTACAATACAGTTATTTAACTCTTCAATTTATCACTATCTGTTTACACACTTTTACAGACAACAGAATAACATCTCCAGTAAATATATGCCTGATACTCCCATTTTCATTACGTTTATGGATGCTAAAAAGAGAACACTGTTAGAGAAAATGAAAACCTGCAGACTGGAATGTTTTAACCAATCGAACTACCCTGCAATCAAGCAACAGGTGGCAGCTGACTCAGCAGTACCAACGAAGCAGGGCAGCTTTACACCATCCTACTACAGCTGTGCTAAAGGTTGCATTTGAGGAAGACTTATCTGTATGGAACAGATTCAAGAAAGATCCAACGTGTGCATAAATAAGACCTCTTCTACTGATGAAAAAAAAGATTCGGCTCCGTGCAAATATTGTCTTGAAGTTCTATATTTAGCTTCATTTTATCTGTTGAACACTAGCTCTAATTCCTAATATAGCAGTGACTAAAATCTCATTAACACTATTATCATCTATAAAGGTACGCATCACAAGGTGAACAAAGTATCCACTCTATAACTGAATTAATTACCATGTCAGCTATTATCTTGGATAAATAGAGATGGTCGTCAGAATGAGTTTCCAGTTCATCGGAAGAATCACAGTCAAGTTCGCGAGTCCATAGCTGCACTTTTTTCAAAATCTGCAACAGAAGTAACCCTATAAATATTTACAGAGGTATATAAATGTGTTGAAAGCAGAGATGTTAGGTTGGATAAAGAATAGAATTCCAGGAGAACCTGAGAAAGTGAAGCGAGAAGTTCTTTCTCCTGTTCTTTCGTTAAAGAAACTACCTCCGATTCCTACAAATACAGTTGTAACAGAATTTAAAGAGATGAACAAAATTTAAAATATTGACAATAATAAAGTGAAGAGATATCATAGAACTAACGGCGTAAGGACGGACAGAATCATTGATCAGACGGTACAGCCGCAAGTATTCAGAGCCACGAGACATTTTCAGCCTTTTTCAGCCTTCAAATTGGCTTCGAATTTGAAATGTTTCAGTTAAATGGTGACTGACTGCGTTGAGGCTTGAAAAAAAATATGTGATTCAAGGTGAAACACGCATACAACAAAACGATGCGTTTTGGTGTTTGTTAACGGCTGCATTGGCGAGTGAACCGCTAAGAGTAAATTTCAACAAATAGCCAGAGCTGCGCAATCCTTTCTCTTTTATGCCGCCATCACATGAACCCTCTGCTGTAGCAACTCTCATTCAAATATGCAGCTCCATAAGCTCGCTAAAAAGAGCGCGTCAACTTCACGCTCTCATCCTTACTACTGCCACACCCATCAACGTCCAAACTCCATATCTACTCAACAATGTAATAACAATGTACTGGCGGTGCGGCTCACTGAGAGACGCACAACGGGTGTTCGATGGAATGCCAAGCAGAAGTCTGGTTTCATATAATGCCCTCATTGCAGCCTATTCTCGTGATCGTAATTGTGGAAATATGGCCTTCAAATTAATGTCCCGAATGGAATATGAATGCATGACGCCTAATGGCTCGACTTTCACGAGCCTGGTACAGGCGGCTTTGTCGCTTGAGGATCGGTTGATGGGATCATTACTTCATAACCAAGTAATGAAACACGGATTCTTGAATAATATCTGTGTTCAAACATCTTTATTAGGGATGTACTCGAGTTGTGGAGATTTAGCATCCGCCAAGAGAATTTTCGCTTGTATAAATAATAAAGACGCCATTGCTTGGAATAGTATAATTTTTGGGAATTTTAAGAATGATATGATAAATGAAGGGCTTTATCTATTTGGCGCAATGGTGAGGTCGGGGGTAACTCCTAACCAATTCACATATTCAATGGTTTTAAATGCTTGTAGCAGAGTTGGAGATTATAATTGTGGAAAATTTATTCATGGCCGAGTAATCATATCAAACTTAAATGCTGATTTGCCTTTACAAAATGCCTTGCTTGACATGTACTTTAATTGCGGTGCCACTCAAACAGCCTTTAGTGTTTTCAGTCGCAGTGAAAATGTAGATTTAGTTTCATGGAACACAATGATTGCTGGGTATATGGAAAATGGAGATGGGGAAAAGGCAATGGATATGTTTGTTCAGCTGCTGAGACTGTCGTTTCCTGAACCTGATGAGTATACTTTTGCGGCCATCATATCCGCAACTTGTGCTTTCCCGGCTTCTTATTATGGGAAACCTTTGCATGCTTTGGTTTCAAAAGCTGGATATGATAGGAGCGTTTTTGTAGGAACTGCACTATTGTCTATGTATTTCAAAAACGGTGAAGCCAAATCTTCTGAGAAAATATTTCACTTGATTTCAGAAAAGGATGTTGTTCTGTGGACAGAGATGATCATTGGTCATTCTAGAATGGGTGATGAGGAATGTGCAATTAAATATTTCTGTGAAATGTGTCAAGAAGGCCACAAGATCGATAGCTTTGCTCTTAGTGGAGCTTTAAGTGCATGTGCTGACCTTGCAAGTTTGAAGCAAGGTGAGATGATTCATTCCCAGGTTATGAAAACACGATATGATGTTGAGATGTCTGTTTGTGGGAGTCTGGTGGATATGTACGCCAAAAATGGTGATCTTCAAGCTGCTCAGTCAATATTTAGTCAAGTTCGGGATCCTGATTTGAAGTGCTGGAATGCAATGCTTGGTGGATATAGTCAGTTTGGAATGGCAGAGGAGGCATTAAGTTTCTTTGAGGCGATCCTAAGACGAGGTCTAAGACCAGATCAAGTAACATTTTTGTGTCTGTTGTCTGCTTGCAGCCACAGTGGGTTTGTTGAGAGAGGGAAGGTTCTGTGGAATCATATGAAGGAATATGGCATAATTCCGGGGCCAAAACATTACGCTTGCATGGTAAGTTTGTTAAGTCGAGCAGGACTGCTAAATGAGGCAGAAAATTTGATTATTGAGGCCCCTTATAATGAAAACCTTCTGGAACTGTGGAGAACTTTGCTAAGCTCATGTGTCAATAATAGAAATTTCATGATGGGAACTCATGCAGCAGAGCAAGTTTTAGGATTGGATTCTGAGGATAGTGCTACATATATCTTGCTTTCCAATCTTTATGCTGCTGTGGGAAGATGGGACGGTGTTGCAGCAATGAGGAGAAAGATGAGAGGTTTGGTGCTGGAAAAGGATCCAGGTCTGAGCTGGATTGAGGCTGGAAGTGATGTTCATGTGTTCTCTTCTGGCGATCAATCACACCCCAAGGTTGGCGAAACTCAAGCTGAACTACATAGACTACAAGGGAACATGCGAAAATCCATAACAGATGAATTTGATGCCAACTGTTATTAACATGGTACGTAGGGAAGGGACAAGTTGCAAGTGAGAAGCCGGTAAAATCAATAACTGGCAGAAGCACTAAAGCTCCTCTTCATGAGTCGAAATTGGTGATGATCATCTGAAATTCCTGCATAATCAGAGCCCAGGCCCCAATTCAAAAGAAATGAACAATTGACCTGCCCTTAGATGCTCAGCTCACCAGGGATATGAATACGTACTCCCATGTTTTGGAAATTCTAAAAGGTCCCTTTGCTCAGCCAATGAAGCATAGTTGAAGTGCAATGAGAGGTCGATTGATGCAGTCTAAAGAAATATTTTGAGAGAGCATGCAATCAAGGACACACATGTCCAGTCCTTCTGGCAACCCGCCACTACCAGATCCAATTCTATCAGTGGCTTATTCTATGACGTAACCATCAACAATTAACTTTAACCAAATTGCAGATTTGGTACCCAGGCATCTTTTTTCAGCTTTCTTGTCAGATTGTTAATTAACTTCACAATATTTACATTTAGTTTTTTATTTTATAAAATTACAGCAAAATATATAGTAAACACTGATTTCAATCATTGGTAGGCCATTGCGAAAGCGAAATCCAATAAACAAATAAAATCAAATACAGGTAAAACTGACTAATGAGCGTTTATTTTGACATCTTTTGTATCTAGGTAGATACCCGACTACAAGATTCATCATGGTAACAATTACTGCACCTAAAAATGTATTCTACAACATTACAGCAACATAGATCTCATTCCAATATTGTGCAACATATCCACAAAGGAATGAAGATATTTAAGACATTACAATGCACAAGTAACCCAAGCCCCCTTGGATTCAAAAAATTAAGCATTGCAGATCCATAAACTTGAGAGCAAATGAAGCTGATATTAAGACAATGCCAAGGGCATAGATGCCAATTTGACATGAACAATGGATTGCTTTAGAAGCAAGTAATCATCTAAGCAGGAGAGGTGTTACTCCTAATTTCAAAATCTGAAGCCACACAGATTAGCGTCGGGTAGTTCGCGGTTTGGGCCTAGATGGTCTCTGCAAGGACAAAGAAGACAGGTGAGAAAACTCAGTAGTTAAAAAATGATAATGTCTGGACTAATCTTGGTAGAAAGTAGCTGCCTTCTATCTACAGACATTATAGCCGCAAAGATATAAATTAACCCTAAAAAACTGGGTCCAATACAAAAATTTTTTCCTACCGAAACATAAATAATTGAACTTGAACACCCCCCCACAAAAAAAAAAAAAAAAAAAAAAAAAGGGAGTGAATGTTTACTTACAGATGTGCCAAAGCTCGCCCCAGATGCTGTTGAAACACCTGGTTATCAAACAACAAAACAGGACAAAATTTATCATTAACTGCCAAAGTTAACAAGGGTTCCCAACACAAGTATAACCATTTAAGAAGTGCACTTGATATTCAACAGAAAAAACCCTTTCCTTCTTTCTTTAAGCAATAATATTGTGCACATACGAGATAATTAAATTTACCACCCTGGGGTTTGGGTCTACCGTGGTCCAGATCCTGCAAGTTTAAACTACTGGGATAGACTCCCCTGATTCTAATAGTCATTAAACTACGTAAAGGCATAACTGGTATATTTTATGTTCTATCATTTTTTCAGAAAAATTAGGTCAATGTCACCTTAAGAGCATCTTCGTCTCTGCATAAACAAAAAGTTGTTTCAGAGTTAGGATTTAATTAACGGTTGTTAGTTTGAAGGGGGTATTTCCTAACATTTGAAAGGTGAGGATCTTGACCTAATGAACCAAAAGCTCAGGGTAGATTAAGTCTTTCTCTCATGCAGATATTAGACAGTAGTACTTTGTGAGAACAACTAACATGACGTATGGGGATTTTCCTTCGTGCAAGTAAAACTTTAATGACAGTATCTTTAAAGTATTGATTTAATATGTCATTGTCAGTTTCAACAACTAAACAAATGGCTCACATCATAAGTAAAATCAAAACTCAAGATATTTGGGATTTCAGTATTTCACAAGCCAGCTGGCAAAATCAAATTCCTAAAGTAACCAGGTGGTAAGTACCCTAAGGTTGTTCAAATTCAGATAAAAACAACAAAAAGCAACGGATATATAACTCTTGGAGAACATCTTACACTTTTTTGCTGCACAAAATTTCAATCCTCTTCCAATTTAAACAATGGTTGCCAAATTTAGTGCTGTCCCAAACACACCTACTTTTGTAGTTTTCAGATATCTTTTTCTTTTTAACCTTTAATGTTAAAGGGGACTAGACATAGGATGCTAATTTTCTGATATCAACAGAATATGATCTATCCAAACAGACTTCTTCAACACAGTCAGCTGAGATTCAGCAGTAACCCCTAGCCTTTGAGAACAATGCTTTATTTTTTAACACAGAGAAAAAAAAAAATGCTGATTTAAATGTAAGAGACTTCAATAGAAGACTATATGATAAAAAAATATCTGAAGCAAACAGCGTTGAAGAAAGAGAACCTCCAGCAGCGGTGGTAGATGGAGCAGGAGGTTTGGAAAATGGAGAAGCAGCAAATAGAGATGTTGATATCTGAGGTGTTGCAAACAGAGAAGACGACATAGAGGAAGCTGAAGTAGAGGCCGGCGTAACAAAATGAGAGAACCCACCCCCTGATGAAGCTGCTGGTGATGTCTGTGGAGCAATTGATGCCCCAGGCATTGTACTTGTAAGCAACCCTACCACTTGTGTTGATGGTTGTAAATTTGTAGGTAAATGCAAAGTTGGATGTACCCTCTTAGCAGCAGCTTCTTGTTTGGCTGTTTCTCGTCGATCAGCCTCAAGAAAAGGGTCATTAAAATCTCCTCGGCGACGCTGATCAGCAAGATAAGCTGTTTTCATAGTTTCAACATACTGATGAATGCTTTCCACCTAAAGAAAATACAAAATATAATAGATTACAAATCAAGAGTAAAATTGCACACCTAACCCAAACAAGCTGAAACCACATAATCTGTTAAGGAAGCTCAATCTACAAAAGCAGTAAGTAATGATATGAGCCATAAAATGGCAGCATCTTTTGTTTGTGTGAAAAATTTGGCATATATTTGAACCACTAACCAAATAATTTTTTATACACTAGAAATATACAGTCCTTTAGCAGTATTTTTCAAGGGATTACAACACTTTCTCAAGGTGTTAACTTCATTAGTTTAAGATTTCAAATAAAAGAGGTATACAGCCAACCAATATTCCATAAAACAATCTCTCCCAAAATAGAGTTATCCAGCACAATGGCTGATAAAAAGAACTCAATTTGATTCATCAAACTCTTAATACCAACCTTAGATATCAAAAAGTATTTTGTTCTCGACAATTAAGCTTTTGTCCCTCACGTTGAAGCATTTTAAATAATTCTAGGTTGGTGTAGCATATAGGTCCCTTACAATATTATAGGCTGTGAAAGTACAAATGAGTATAAGCCATTCTTAGCTAATGAGAATTAGGGACACTATTGTCTTTTACCTTGGAAGCCACATGAACAAAAAAGCTGTGCACATTTGACATCACCATTGGAAGGGAATGCAATAAAGATGATCCAGGGTTGGAAGAGTTCCGGTCAGAATCTAATAGGAGCAATTGCTCTAACTCTTCAATCCATTGGCGGCACTCACACAGATATTTCTCAAATCTGGCAACAGTTTGCTGCAAAAAAGGAGATGGTTTCCTTGGAAGTCCACAATAAAAGTCAAAAACAGGCACCACTGAGGTAGCTGTTGATTGGCCAGTGGAACTTGGCGCTGGCGCTGGTGCTGGTGCTGGTGATGGTGCTGCTCCAGGAGTCTGGAATGGTGTGGTAGCACTAGAAGCACCTCCTGATTTAGGATGAAGAAACCTTGGGCGTACCATAAGGAAAGAACGAACAGCTACCTCTGTGTTCCGTAACATATCTTTCACAGAAGCCATCAACTCTTGCAGCTGAGCTTTCTGTCGTTCCATGGAAGTGCTGATTCCCCCAAGTTCCTTTAGAAAAATAAAATAAAATAAAAAAATCCCTTATTAAACCATTAAGTATAGCTTTACAATTAATATAATGCATTTAAAAAGCAATAGCACTGCCATTGACACCAAGAAAGAGGTAATAAAAAAAAAAACTCTGGGAATTGGGAGATTTTTGCTGCTTAGGGAGAGGTAATATATCGTTAATGACTTAATGATTAGCTCATAAACACAAGATTAAAACTTTACCTGAACAAGAAGAAGATTGGAAAGGTAATCCCTAATACTAAATCATTGAACCTTAGTCTTAAACTCTGCGTTTGTCCATATTCAAAACCAAAAAGGCATTATGGTTGAACACTCTTGTTTTATAGAAAATGACAACAATCTAAGGTACAAAAGTCACCAGGTAAGCATGTATTCTTCCAGACCAATTGATCTCAACAAATAATCTTCAAGAGTCAACAGTCATATCAAAGTAATTTGATATAGACTTATTGAACTAATTATAGTGTTTGCAAATTAGACTGCAGGTCTAATGTATCTAATGTGTTCAGTGAAAAGAGGTGGACAGCATGTAAATACACATTATCAAGATATAAATACAAATAATGAATTGTCATGAATTAATAATGCAGCATACTTGAACAATATGGTTGGCATCAAGCTCAAACCCTTCATTAGAAATCGAAGAATCATAAAGGCGGCTACATTGATCAAGCCTCTGACTCTCATCCCTGTATTCCAGAATCCGCTCCCTACATGCATCACCTCGAGACTATCAAATAATTATTCTAATTAAAAAACCTAAAAATAATTCAACTCAAAATAAAAAACATTTTTTTTAACTTGTATAAAACCATAAACACCTCGGTTGCTAACAATGTATTAGAAAACAAATGTTTTTTTGCCCCCTAACCCCAAATAAAGTTTAGAAGAAAAAAGAAACCAACTTCCCTAACTTAAGCATACCAATTTGCTTAATTTCACATTAAAACAAGAAAAATGAATGAATATTAGTGGAAAAAGAAAACGCACTCGATCTGAAGTAAGAACTTTTGTGAATCCGGATGAAGATCCGCCCATTTGGTACCATAGCTCGCCGGAGACTTGTCGTTGGTAAAAAGAAACAATTGCTGCTGCTGCTGTTGTTGTTGCTGCTGTTGTTGCTGCTGCTGCTGCTGTTGTAGTGACTGTTGTTGTTGCTGCGGAAATAGTTGCTGCTGCTGTTGTTGCGGCTGTTGCGGCGAAAAAAAGGGGCTACTTTGAAAAGGTTGTTGCTGCTGCGGCTGAAAGAGTGACTGAGGTTGTTGTTGTTGTGGGGTTGAAAACATTGAAAACGCCATTTTGTTTTCAGTTTTCTCAAATCACAGTAGGGCTTTGAATTGGGGAAGCGATTGAAAAACCCTCTTTAAAAGTTAAAACCCGCCTTTCGTCATTGTTTGGGAACGGGAAGCTTGTTTTGAAGGGGTGACATGTAATAAGGGAAATTATGAGACTTTTTTGGTAATTTACCTTCTGTTTTTGTCCACGTTATTTCAACTAAAACCCTACAATTAATGATGTTTCATTTAGTCCCAAATATTTTTAAATTTACAGCTCGAAAACAAATTGAAAAAAAACAAAAATCTGAAAATAAAAGAAAATGGGCGGATCTTCATCGGGATCCACTAAAATATTGTAATTAGCTTAAACATTGAATTCTACATAATTTGGAATTAAAAAGAAAAATTTGGAGTTTATGTGGTATTTTTAAAAATATTATGGGTGCGTTTGGTTTAGTATTTTGGATAGGATTTTAGGGATAGTATTGGGTTATTGGATAGGGGAGTATTACGAGGTAAATTTTAAAAATTTGTGAAAAAGCCCTAAGGTTTACTAATTTAACTAAATACCCTAACATATAAAATGACAAAAACACCCCCACCACCTGCAGTGTCAGATTCCGGCCACCACCGCCGGAATCTGGCCGAAAAATTTCGTTACGGCACAGACCAGTCGGATCTGTGCCGTAACACGTCGTTATGGCCTTTTCCGGCCAGATCCATGGTGGATCTGGCCGGAAAAGGCCAGATCTACGGTCTGTTATGGCCGTCGACGGCCGGAAAAGGCCAAACGAGGGCCATCTTTGGCCGTCAACGACGGCCAAAGCTGTGGCCGTCGTTGACCTTCGCTAACGGCCATTTCTTTGGCCGTCGCTGACGGCCAGATCCGTGGTGGATCTGGCCGGAAAAGACCACAGCGGTGAACTTCCGGCCATTTCTGGTCGAAAGTTAGGCCGTTTGTACAGATTCCAGCTATCACCGACGGTGGTTGCCGAAATCTGACAAGTTGGGTTGATGGGGGTGTTTTTGTTAATTTTTAAACTTTTTTTCAGGGGGTATTTAGTGAAATTAATAACCTTATGGGGTTAAAATGTAATTAAAAAAATAGGGTAATATTTCTGGAATAGTGTGCCAAACATTATTTGGAGAATAGGATCCAGAATAGGGGTGAAAATATTAAGCCAAACATGCAGTATAATATTTATATTCTGAAATTTGTTGTTCAACTAGTTAGGTAGTTTGGTCATTCGTTTGAAATTTTTAAATTTATTATTTAAAAGGTTTTTAGTTTGATTTTTTGATCTATCTCCACAACTATATCAATAATGAGTAGTCACTAAAGGTTTATTTACCTGTTAACTTCAGGATTCAGAGGACTAATTGAGATATATGTAAATTGATTCAAACACCTCAAATAATAAAAAAATAAAAAAGGTTTATTATTCATTTTTTGGGCCGCCCCTTAGAATCAAAACTGCCTTAGGCTTCCAAGAAAAGAACTCAAAACTCTTCTTTGGTTTTGATGTAGTCTCACCATTTAGTTATAACCAGTTTCATTTGATCATTCTAACCGACTTTCCCAATGCATTCAGATTAAGGATAAAAATACAATTTCAGTAAACTTTTTGGACTTTCCACGAGCTGCGACTTGATCTACAGCTCATATATTAGCCCAATTTACACTATAAAACCGACACTTAATTAATTATATAGAATCATATTCATGGCAGCACATAAATTTATTTGTGATTAACAATTACTTACTAGTCCAAAGATCAATTAAAACTCTTGAATATATTATTAAATAGGTTATATATTCAATTTATTTCTTACTATTAATAAGAATAATTACTAAATGTATCTAGAAGCTTTAAAACCCCATTCAATCAGAGAATCCTTAGATTTGATTTGACAAGAAGACATAGAACTTGAAAGTTGGGCTTGAGAATTTTGATCTTATGGCAACCAGTTGTCAATTTTCTGTAAACTGGCAACAGAAAATTCAAAATACAACAGTTTCTGAGGTCTCCTTTCGCACAACAAAAATTAGTAGTTGGCAGTGAACAAACTCAGCTGAATCAACAGTTGGGCATATTGTAAATATATACACACGGTGAAAGTTTACCACTAACCAGACAAATAATACTTGTTTTACAGAGAGCCAGAAATGGGGTATTCCCCTGTAATCCCAAAAAGGGTCAGAAAAATAAAGTAGAATAACTATCATTACTAAGGAAAGATTCAACGATTACAAAGCAGCGAACCTGCCATGTCAGTGAGTCACACAACAATGCATTTGAACACAAAATCAAAGTAGTGAATAGAGATTAAAATTTTACTTGAGACGTTGCTCCTTAGTGTCTCTAGCAAAGTGAAAAGCTTTTAGTTGGAATGAGGTTGTTCCATGATCATTCTGATTATTAGTGATTTTTTTCCATGAGTATACAAAACTCCAGTTATGCTAACTGGCTGACTGAGAAAAACATTTACCATTGAAGAAGGTGTGATGTTTAAGGAAACTATCAATAAAAGATGTTTGATATTCAAGCACCGAGAGAGAAGAACACACTGATTAGTACTTGCCATGTCCACTGCACAAAAATGGTACAAACAACCAAACCACATGGCATACAGTCACAAAGAAGAAGAAGAATAATTAAAAAGAGAAAAAGTCATATAGTTCCTTTCTTTCAATTTAAGTCCTAGTTTACCCTTCACTCACTAATTAACTAAACATATTCCAACTAAAAAAGAAGAAAAACTAAGTAATATTACAGAAGAAGACATCACTTGAGACCATTTCCAGGGGTAGAAATTGCTAGATCAGGCCAAGCAAAGCAATCAGCACCAACAAACCCGTTAGTAGTTTCTCCACTCTCATACTGCCAAGTGTTTCCAACTCCAGTTGCACCACCAGTACCAGTACCAGTACCACCACCAATATTAGCTGTGGCAACAGTAGCACCACTACCAGCCTCTCCCACACCAGTAAAACCCCAGATTCCTCTCCCAAGCCCACCAAAGCCCACATCCCCAACAATCCCAGAGCCCAGCCCAAGACCAAACCCACCCAAAGCCAGAAACCCAGGTGCCTGAGTGTTTAACAAAGAAGTAAAACTCCCGGAACCCTTAACGTCACCCCCACAAAACTGCGGATGATTTCCCCCGAACGGCAACAGAATAGGAGTGGAAGTCAAAGGATAATCCTGTGCGAGGGCATTGGCGGTGATGATGGAAGAAACAGCGTTGGCGGTGGTACGAGAGCGTTTAGCGTTCTTGCGGGTGCCGCCACCAACAGGGATGTCACGTAGAGTCCCACCTTGGGTCCAGTAACGGCGGCAAGCCTTACAGAAGTGACGTGGCTGAGAGAAGTTGTAGTTGTTGTAGTAACAGAACTTGGTGTTAGTAGAGTCACAACGTGGACATGGAAGTTGCTCTTGTTCCGGTGGAAGTGGAACTGCAGCGTTCTTGGCTACTCTCCTGCTGGGGGTGTTGCTGAAGGTCGCATTGACGTTGTTGTTTTGACCGGAGTCTGATGGCATTTCTAATGATATTTTTTTTTTTTTTTTTTTTTTTTTTGTTTTTTATTGAGAAGAAGTTGGTGAAAGAAGAGAATGAAGAGAGAATGAGATTTATGGAGAGAGAAAGAGAGAGAATGTGGGAAGGGAAGGAGAGTGAAGCATGTTCTGAGGCGTATATGACTATATGAGCAGAGAGTGAACAGGCTTTTTACAGTGTTCTGTTAGGCTGTCTTAGGCACGACATTTCAGTCGGCTAGAAGAGGGGCGCGGGCGGGCTATGGCTCGCTCTGTTTTACCACTGTTTTGAGTCGGCTCTACTCAGCTAGGTATGCGGCTTGCGTTTTATTTATTTATTAAGTGGAGGGAGCACCCCTAGTATGAATAGTCAAACGTGGGACCCTGATCCTGACCCTGTTTCCTTTGTATTTCATTTCTTCTTCCTGTTATGATGTAATATTATTATTAATTTACACTTGAAAAAGAATAGGAGGGAACAAAATTTAATCATTTTTTATTTTTTTTCATTTAATTTAATCTTATAATGTAATTAATAATACAACAAACAACACTTTCTAGATTCTTATCTTATATCGATGATAATAAGATAAAGAGTCTTATTAAATCGAGCTATAGGTATGTACTAGCTACGTTTCAATAATGCTGACAATATGTTTATTGAACCTCTTATTTGTGTACATACATAGTAATAGGATGTCCCTTCTTGGAACTGTTAATTTTCATGTATTTAATAAGAGTAAACTGTAAAGGATTTTTTTCCACCTAATAACACAGTCTCACCTAAAAAAATTTAAAATATCATTTTTTTTCATTCAAAATTAATATTCTTTTATTACCTAAAATTGATTCTGACCAATTTCGATAACAAAAATTATCTCTATCATTACTATTTGAATTTTCGGTCTCATATCTACAAAATTCTTTTTACTCTAACACCTAATTTTTTACGGATTATTGAACCCCATAAAACATTAATTAAGATAATGATATTTTAAAACTTTTGAAAAAAGTCGTTTACTCTATTTAATAAACAACTGTAATGTCTTGTCTTCCATTTCTTTATATAAATGGTTGTAGTTGCAGTACGTAACAATTATTATAGAGATCAAAACATAGATTGTAATAAAATATTAATTTAGAAACAAACGTGTTAAGTCATCCGACATAATTAAGAGTATTTGATTCTCTAAAAATGATTTAAGTTATAGGCGGCATGTATTTGCATTGTCGTTTTAGTTAAGTCAATATGAGTCTAATGTCTTAAAACAAGTCTTCTATAAAATTATAATCTATATCATTCCATTATCCAACTTTTAAATTATTTTATACATCTTTAAAGAGAGAGCAGATAATATAGGCGGCGTTATGTTATGCATGCATGAACCTAATAAGCTAAAGGTATAGGTCACAAAATTTTCTGTCCTATAAGATAAGAATATCATAGTCATACAAGAAGAAAAAATAATTGAAATGATTGTCGCTGGTGTCTTTTTCACCGTCATTTAGTCTACAAAAGTATCGTTTTCGCAAAGACTGATTAGATAAACAATTACGACTTTGTGGGTTGGTATGGTATTTGTATCCCTCTCATGGAATTATGTTCTGAAACATTTTTGACATGAAAGTTGCAGGTGGAGGTAGCAGGCGGAGGCATTGGTTATGTTTGAAAGAGAGAAGCGGCAAAGCAAAAAGTTTTGGTATGTAGCGTGAAAGAGGAGGATAGAGATTGAGGAGGATTGATAGTGGGTGAGACAGGACCGACAGAATCATGAATGTCGGACAGCGTGGGCTACAATTATTGGTCTTCCCTCTGATTTCGGACGCGTCATGTCCGCATCAGATTCCTCCTCCGTACACTCCTCTAATCTCTTTCCGGATTTCCCGCTTACTGTTCACATTATCTTACATACTGTTTGGCTTTCTTTTAAACAAAATCACCAGTTTATAACTTCATCTCCACCGTTTATTTCTTTTTCTCCTGCTTCACCGATCACCACTTAATGTCCACTGTTCACTTTGAATGGATTGAATTTGATTTTAATGAATTGAAATCTGAAATGTGTTAGGTTATGGTTTTCAATTTACTTGTCTTCATCATCTAAAGGAGAAGAGTCAAACCATGCGTATTGATATTGTGGATTTGCTGGAGTCACAATGTGTACAAAGAATTTGGATTGGTGGCTTGAGGCTTGATTTTTCCTTTATAATTGACAAATGATAAATCCACGTCTCCTTTCATTTCAGTAAGACTTTTATGTGTAATTAATTGATCACCAATTAACAGGGTATAAACCGACAAATTAACCTATTTCTTTTTTCAATCGCACATGAGAAAAACTAAAATTTCACGGGTAGAGTTTAATATTTTTTCAACATAAATTATGAAAATAATTGAAACATCAGGTTTAAATGAAGAAAATGGAAGATTTTCTCTTATAATTAAGTTAAAAACTTGTATAAAATATGCGACTTATTACAGTCCATGCATTGCACACAAACCATCATAAGGTCCACTCATTCAAATGTCTTATTTTAACCACTCATTCTCTTCATCACCTACACTGCACATCATTGTTTTTGCAATATCATTCTTTTCATCACACACGAATGGAGAAGTTAATGATGGCAAGGGGTGTTGGGACAGGCCAGCGTACCTCAATTAATTTCTTAAAACCCAAAAATTGTAGGTTGGATAAGAGTTTAAATGATTATTATTTCTATTAACAATTGAGAAGTAACTCAAAAACTCATAATCTCTTGGTTAATGCATTCAAAAATACTATTAGACTATAAAAAGATAGGCCAAATATAATAATGATGAGATTTACTGTAAAAAATAAATTGAAAGAAAAAATGCGAGGAACAGAAGTTATTCATGTGAGAAGAATTGCATGAGTAGAGAGAGTAAAACCAAAAAAAGAGTCCAACCTTAGATTAAAAGGTGGGGTCGTGGAAATAGACAGAGGCAAGCGTCAGGCAAAGAAGGGTGGTGTCAGGCGGCACGCGATGGATGGGTTCAGTAGCAATCCAAGTGTCTCCGCCACTTTATCATGTTTCATTTTCATTAACACACATATCCTCAAACCTCTTCCGCTTCTTCCTTCTGGCTTCTACTGACATAATTGCCTCCTCCATTCCATCCTCTGGCCATCTCTCTTATCACTTCTTTTCAGTCTTTTCTTTTTAGCTTTTTCCTGTTGCTTCTTCATTCTGATTCCTTCACAGACGCAGATATCTCTACTTTTATCTATTTAATTCCAATTCCATGGTCTTCATCTTTTATTGCTATTATTACTTCAATCTTTCAAGTAATTTCACTCTCTCTGTCCACATCAAATTTACTGCTCCACATTTTACTTTTGCTTATACACCAACTGCTTCAAATCCAATTTTTATTTCTAAAACAATAATATAGGTATTGTCCCGTAAAGTTTCCTACGAATTTTGTCATTTATTTAAGAGTAAGCGAATTTTTTCCACTCAAATAATGATTTGATGATATTTTCTCACCTATAAATTTTTAAAATACTATTTTACAACCTAAATTTATATTCCGTTTTCGATTCCGACATCGTTGCGACCCTACACTACTACCATTCTCTTTTCCTATCATCACTGACCAAAACCTCTCAAACCCTACTCCCGTCAATCGTCAGCAATCTAACGATTAGGGTTTGCATAGCTGCCTTCTCAAGTTAAATTTCGATCAATCCTAACTAACAAAACCCAACATTCTACCACAAAAAGACTCATCGGTCTTCCTTCTTCAAAAGCTCTAATAGCTTCGATTGATTTTACTCTCTATTCGTTGTCAGAATATAAATTTGGATAATAAAAGGTATTTTAAAAGTTTGTAGATGAATGTAATTAAACTATTATTTGGGTGAAAAAAAGGTCATTAACTCTTTATTTAAAAGAGTTATGCTATTGATCTCCCGAATTTTATGTATTTTATCTCAGTAGATTCCTCTTTATTTTTTTTATTTAATTACAATACTATCCTGCATAAGAAAATTACTAAAGAGGGTATAAATTCTTTTTATTAACTTTACATGTTAACCTTTGTACTATTAATCTAAAAAATTTCTTTTGTCTCTTTTAATCATAAACTCTAATATAAACCCTAATCCTCGTTGTTCTTCTTATTTTGTTTTAGTTTTAGTTTTTTTTTTTTTCTTCTATTATACAAGAGAAAGTTTTATATGAAGGTTTTTATGTTGACTGTTGATAATCTTAATAACATATCCGTTAAAAGAAAGAAGTTCAAATCCTATAATGTTTCAAATTAAAAGCAAGAATTGATATTGAGAGATAGAGATGAAGAATATATAATTGATAAGGAATAAGATTTGCAGGGGAAATACAAATAAAAGGGTTATATTGGAAATAGGTGGGGTTTCTTTAGATATTTATATATACTTCAAAATTTTAATGTGATGAATTTAGAAATGAGGTCTAATAAGATAAAAAGCGGAGAGCTAATAGAACTACTCTATTTAAAATTCAAAAGTTCTATATTTTGTTTTATTTTATTTTTTTAATATAGATAGGCTGATAAAACGAATCTTATAAATCTAATGTGGGAACTAATGTTTATTTTCTAATGAATTTTCTCTATTACTAACGTTGTCTAGAGGTGTGTTGGAAATGTCACGTTATGTTACTGAGAGAGAAAAAATTTGTGAAATTCATTTATCAATTTAGTATTGCTAAAGAAGAGAACTCTTGAACCTTTTCGCGTAGCCCTGTCCTCTACTATAAATTGGTGATGCTCTTATTTAAATATGTTATTATTCTGTCTAGTTAAAATGAGACAGATCGCCACTATGCAACATAAAATTTATTCATAATAATAACATTTTAAAAGAATTATTGGTAGAAATAGCAAATTCTTAAAGTCTCTGAGTTAGCTAGATTTTAGATCAATCTATATAGTATTCGTGTGGTCAATTTAATTAAGCCTTAAGCAGCATACCCTCTTTGACAGTTGCACTTGAACAAGTAAAAAGCATTCGTGTGGAATTCATTTTTGTAATAATCTAAGCGGATCAACTACCACCACCTATATTAAATTTAACAGCTCGAATTTGATTAAATTCTTTAAACAAAAAATTCAACTCAAAACTCATTAGAAACTTGAAATAAACAGACAAAACAAAACGTAAAAAATAAATCCCCCACAGTAATAAAAGGTAGTTCAATTAATTAAAACGATGTCACTTCTGGAAGAAGCAAGCAGGAGAGAGGAACATAATGCGCACAACATTAGTTACATTATGATCACAACTAGATATCTCGAAGCTGTCGAAGATTGACAGGGGATATGTATTTTTTGTCTCCATCGAGGAGTTGTTTTGCAACAATAACATTAGCGGCTTCACTTGGATGATAAGGGTCCCAGAATACGTGCTTGGACCGATCTTCACACAGACTAGACGTTGGTCCACAAGGAATTATCCCTGCAAATTGCCCCCCATTTCCACAACAAGCTTTACTTGATGTTGTAAATCCTGCATCAACCGCATTCATTTTTAACCACTGTCATTATTATTAACTTCACAAAATGTTGAATGAAAAGTGCAGCATGTCTTTATTTTGATGGGCATGATGGACTTACCGTAAGTTTTGTAATTTGTGATAAGTTCCATAACGAGATCATAAACATTGGCATGAACAAATGTGGATCCAGGGAGTTTTTTGTTTAGTTCTTTGAGTAGATCCTTCAACCTGCCATTGTACTGTAACGCTAGCTTATTAGCCAAATCGACACATTCATTTTCGTTCAGTTGGTTTATGGTCTTTTGATAAGGTATGCAACCTATTGGACCAACGTTTCCTATCACAAACTTCCGAGCATCCATTTGGTAAAGCCTCTGTCATCAACAATATATCAATTATGACCATCACCAGCAGGACTAAATTAATAAAAGATCGAAAAATTTAATAAGAGAGATTGGTTTCATCTACTTACTGTAAGTTGAATCTTTAAGTGATCGATCATGTCGTCAATAAAACCATCTGGGCTTTGAGATATTCTAGCTCCGATAGAAAGAACTGGGAGAAGATAATTGTTTAGAAAATCATTTGCTCCAATTGTGATAGAGAAGATGGATTTCTTCATAATATAATCTCTTGCCTTGCTTGGACCCAATAATTTATCAAACTGTTTTCTCGTGATATTGAAATAATCAACCTGGATATCCATTCCTACCCTATTAACCTGCAACATATATAAGGTATAACATTATTATTAGATTACGAAAATAGGAAGTTCATCACGTCATATATAGAATGAAGTAAAAATGATAATATTATATAGAATGAAGTGCAGACAAATATTCTTCCAGTTGCATTCATGATCCCTCCTCCTCCCGAGGCATAATTCACACCATATAATATAGCTTTTCCAGTGGAATTTGGAGCCAAAAAGGGAACCGCATAGTTTGGTTGTCCCAGTTCTTCTCCTGGAAAGTGAAAACAATAATAAATGAATTAAATACAAACAAGGAAAACTCGAATAATAACATGTTTTCTTGATATTTAATTAAGAGCTTACCTATAATATCACCAATGGTTCTTCCATTGGTATACCTGCCAGTAGGGTTTCCATTAGATGCTTTAAAATCAATTCCATTAGGACGAATATTTGCCTTAGATAACGTTGGTAAATAGTTATTATTTCCAGCATCAACTAAGGAATCACCAAAGATAAAAGAAGCCCCGAGTGATCCATTATCATTAGCTGCTTCTGTCAAATAGCTCAAGCTGACGAAGAAAAGAACCAAGGCCGCCTTGTAATATTTCATATTCATGTCTAGGCTAGCTTCTGTATTGGATTTGGTTATGAAATAAAAAAAAATAAAAAAAAAAAACCCTTGTGAACATGTTAGTTTTCTGGTGTATAAATACTTTGCTCCTCGCAAATAGAAACAAAAAGAGAATCCATGGATAAAACTTGTAAGCTTGTGTTTAATGAGGTGCGTTTGGTTTGACCCAGATAGGACTAATTGCTGATAGAATTTCCATGTGGTAGTTCATCAACATTGTGTATTTTCTCAACGTGTTATGAACTTGTGGATTTTGCTTTTGCAATAAGCAAATGTGTCACAAGGTCAAAGAAAGCCCTTTAATACATAAGTTACAAAGTCTTTTTATTATAATTTTTTGGAACAAGTAGAGTGCTTTAAATCAATCATCGTGACGTACTGGTAAAGCTGAATTTAGATTTGAGAATGCTCTGGCTTCTAAGAGAACATGGTGGCTTTGGGTCTAGTAGTTGAAAAACACTGAACAAATTCTTACCACTATCTCGTTCTAAGCACCTTCCCCGTATCATATAACATCAAATTAGCAGTCTTCATTTCAATAAATAAATTATCAGAACAAGATCAATTTAATATTAAGTTAAACCCGACAGTATTAAGGGACATCATAGCCAAATTGAAGCAATAAAATGAAGTTCAAATTTGAAGTATTGAATTTCGATAATAAAATCATTAATTTTAAATAGATAAATTGGTGGATGTGAAATCTCATAGCCCTAGATTTCTGTCACAATTAAAATCATAGAGAGTTAGAGACATAGAATAGAATGGAATTGGGCTGGAAGTTGATATAAGTTGATGTGACAATGGTGAGGTTACCCGATAAAAGCCCAAAAAAGTAACCATATAAAGCAATATGACAAAGCCCAACTGCCCAAGAAAACTCTTACAAACAAGTCTGGAAATGAGCCCAACAGACGCCTGCTGGCATTCCATCCTTCCTTCGACCTATCCGAAAGAGAATCGATACTTATTCTTCTTGACTGTGAATATCGGAATAGGGCGAACCGTCCCATGGATATCTTTCCTTCAGAACAAACATATTCAAATTAGGCTCGGTCAACTAGAATGTGTACTTATTATCTCTTTTGTCGGAGACGTTCAAATCGAAAACGCTTTAATAATTATACAAACTATTCGAAACCTCCTTCCTGTTAGAGTTTTGTTCTTTTTTAAAAAAGTATGTTTTTTTTTTTTTCGGATTATTCTCTCTCGCACATCTGTGAATGCCCAATTAAAATAAACGTTCTTGAGTACAAACCCCATTTTTCACCACTCACATCATCCATTTTTTTTTATATAAATACAAGTACACATCTAACATGGTGCCCTTTAAAAAAGTTCCAAAAAACAACCAACTTCTATCTCTACCTTTCCCACTAAATCACAGGAATAACATTGGTTTTTTGGGAGATTTTTTTTGAAAGAATTTAGTTTTAAAAGGTATATGAAATGTCAAAAATATGTTTAGTATATAAAAAACAAAAAAAAAATTGTGTTAATTCAAATTGGGTTGAAAATTCACTTTTTTGGAAAACTGATGAACAAATTTGAGCAAAATTGAATAAACTCGAGTCGTTCAAGTCCATTTACTCGAGTCTAATCGCTCTAACATCGCACGCTTGTACAATAGGTTAATATCCTTATACTCCACTTGAGCAACTAGACTCGAGCGACCGAATTCGAGTGACTCAAGCGACTGAATTTGAGTGACTCGAGCTTTTGCAATTTTTCTAGAAAATCAGTTTTTCTGATTCAAGTGTTAAAAAGTGAGTTTTATTTTTCTTTTTCCCCTGTATATGCAATATTTCACTTATATTAAAAACGCATACAAACATGATATCACTAAGAAAGAAAAAAAGAGGAGAAAGGAAGAAATAAAGTGAAGTGATTTGAAGGAGAAGGGCAAAATCATTCAGAATTTGCATCAAAGGTCTTACACTCTTACTTACAAAGACAATTAGAGATGAGTTATTTTTTTAGTTGGATTCTTAACATAGGGTCATCATAAATAATTATTTCTTAAATTTGCCCGAATTCATTGTATTGGTAATTTGGTAAGGGGGTTTCTAATAGTTTCTGATAGTTGCTGGGTCATCTTGTGGTTAGCAATATATTAGGGGGCTGAAGGGTCCTAAATAAAATTTGAATTTTTTCGATCCAAATGAAATTGAAGGTCTGTTTGGTTTGGTTAATAGGAATGGCAATTACAGTAATTTACAGAACCCAATGCAACTTTCCAGTTTGTCCCTGTCCTTCCTCCGAATGTTGGTGGCGTTTCCATAACCAAATGACCAGGCCCCTGCTCCTTATTTAAGTTGAAAAACTCGACCGTTAGATAAACACCAAACAACAGCAAGAGAAGGAGAAAGTGGGAGTGAAATCTCATAAACGCAGCGATGAATAAACACCCTCAAACCCACCACGCCGATGGCCAAAACCCCCCTGCTATCTCACTCTATGAACAGTCGAGGGATCAGAGAATCAAAGAGAACCTCCAAAAGATGCAAAAGCTTGGCCTTGGTGACCTCTCTCTCAAGCTCAAGTCTCTTACTACTCCTAAACGTACACCCAGAAACACGACTATCTCTCATTCACCGCGAAACACTGGACCCGTCCGTCGTTCTTCCAGGTCACTTTATTACTCATCTCACTATCTTTCACTTCATTTTCATGTTTGGTTCCTTCAATGTTTTCTATTTTTGGGTTTAAATGTTGAAACAGTTGGAAGACAAAATTTTTGAAAACAAAATAATAGGTTTTTTGGTTTTTCTTATTTGGTTATATTAGCGACAAAACAAATGATATTATAGTTTTGCCGATTGACTGGCTTTCAATGGTATTTATTACTTTTTTCTGTTTCTGTTGTGGGTGGTTTAGGTTGCAAAATGTGACACCGATTAGCTACTCTGAAGTGGTGTTGTCCAAGAAGGATAAGAGTTTGGAGGACGAGGATGTTAAGTTAAGAGAGGGTCCAAAGCCAGAGGTTTATACAGAAGAGCATGAGAAACTGTTGGGTAACACTGAGAGAAGGTGGACATGTTTCGTGGATGGGTATGGAGGAGATGGAAGGAGAATTTATGATGCAGTGAAAGGAAAAACTTGCCATCAATGCAGGTCTGGTTTACTGCTCTGTGCTAAAAATTGACGATGTTATTTGTGGATTCAGTGCTTTGAAGCTTATTAAAAATATGCTTTCTGTAACAAGAAAAATATTGAAAAAGTTGTGCAAACATATTTTAACCTTGTTAAATTTGACTTTTGACAGCCTTATATGCTACTAATGATCTGAAGTATACTTTTGACAGCCTTATATGCTACTAATGATCTGAAGTATAAAAATTGCTAAGGTTGCTTTAGAAGAAAGAGAATTATTGATGACAAATTGATTCATTAGTTTGCCATATTTCCAAATCTCTGATTGTTTATGGTTAACAATTTTTTGAGGTTCCTAAGGTTTTAAGTACTTTTATTACAACTAAGTCATAGATATATTTTACTAAAATGGGTCGTAGTGAAAATTCAAAACACAAACTATAGAATTTATATGAAAAAGAACATCGGCTTTTTAGGAAGAAAAAAGTCGCAGAGATTTTAACTTTTGAATTCATTCATCTATTTCTTTCTTTCTTTCTAAGAGAAAGATTGTTCTTTTATTTTATTCCTTAGCTAGGAAAGATTCAACAAATCCCACAATCGTGTAAGGAAGATATTTTTATCGAATGTCATATTTGAGAATCTATTTCCCATGGCTTTTGGAAAGAGAAGTGCACTAACCTTCTTCACTCATGTGTATCGATGGTGGGAAAAAGATTTATCAACATTTTACAACAGATATGATAGGGTGATTTGATAACATGGATCATGACTTATTAAACTGCGTGGTGGAATAGTATTTTAGGAGTATTTAATTTGAGATACTTTGTTTAATACTAGAAGTTGCCATTTATTTCTGTTAGTGTGAATATTGTACACCTGTTTACATAATTTAAGGTTAGTGGTACATGAGATCTATACCCTTGACCTAAATGAATAAAATTGGTTTTAACTCATCCAGAAGGTGAATGCTGTTTTGCAGGCAGAAAACTCTTGGTCATCGTACTCACTGCAGTCAATGCAATAAGGTCCAAGGACAGTTCTGCGGAGACTGTTTGTACATGAGGTATAACTTCTTTGTTTTCTGTCTTGCACCTTTGCATCTCAAATCTCAATACTATGAATTCCTTAAATAGGGCTTGGTGAACTGATGGAATAAAATTTTGAAGCCCAATATTTATGTCTCATATTTTTAAGCATGTATTCCTATTATTGATTGATTCCCAATGCCATAAATGTACTAAGTCGTGAATTTTTTTTCTTTCACTACTATATTTTTTTTCTTTAATTCGTAGATATGGAGAGCATATTCTTGAAGCCAAAGAGAATCCAAATTGGATTTGCCCTCCGTGTCGTGGCATATGCAACTGTAGTTTCTGCCGGCAGGATAAAGGATGGTGTCCTACTGGCTCTCTTTACAGGAAGGTATTCTCTTAATGAATGTGATATTTCTCAGATGCTTTATCCTTACTTTTGAAACACCTTAGCTGAGCCGTTTTGTCCAACATCCAGATTTCGAGTCTGGGCTACAAATCCGTTGCACACTATCTTATTCAAACTCGACGCTCACAAACAAATTTGGAAAAGGATCCAGAAACTGAAAATCAAGTTTCTGCAAAGCGATCACTTCCCTTTCCAAACACAGAATCAAAGGATTCTCCGCAGTTTGATGAAAATCTGCTTGGAACAGTTGGGCTTCTAGCTGAAGACAGGAAAAAAGAGGATGTAAATATTGAAAAACACAACAAAGTGCAAGTCAATCCGATCTCTGCTTGTAACTATCAAATTTCTACAAAGAGATCATTGCCTTTTTCAGATTCAGAAGAAAAGTCTGTGAATGATAATATCTCTGTGTTTCAATTGGAAGACAACCTAGACAAGGGTGTCAAAGGTGAGCAAGAAAGGAAATTGAATGACACTGATGAAAAACATTATTATACCAACAATATTCCATTGGAAAGTTGCACCAAAGCCAAAAAGAAACGTGCTGCCATTGAGCCAAACCTGGACAGTATTGCTGGCAGATTAAGGCGTAGAAAAGTTAATGACCATGAAGACATGGATTCAACAGCGGTGAACAAAATGAATTTGGATGTTAATCAGGCTGTGAGCAACATTTTGTCAGAGAAAGAATTGGAGAAAGAGAAGGAAATGCAAATTACTGATGATAACCATGGTTGTCCAAAGCTTCAGAGCAAACCTGCTGTTGCTATTGGAAGCGAAGACCGAGATTGTGAGAGGTTGGCAGATGTTAATGATAAAACATCTAACATAAAGTAAGCTGTTAATGATATCTTATTAGAAAAGGAAGAAAGCACAGTCCACAACACCTATCCAAGACAGTATTGCTAGAAGATTGAGGCCTAGGATCAAAGCAGCATGAAGATGGATGTTAACTTTTTCTGTTGATGGTAACACTATTCTTAAAATCCTGTTGCCACTGGATATAGTGTTTAGGGTGTCTGCATGACTGGGTCATGCTAAACTCATATTTTGTTGTCACTAAATTTGGATAGAAAATTGACTTGCAGGAATGTCAATTACTTATTGTTACTAATAAGTGCGTTTCTGGTCATTTCAATAATCAATCTGCCTGGCCTCCTCTATGTGGGTAGAATACAGATTTAGGATTGACAAGTTGTGTATCAATGCAGCAAAAAAATTATAAGCACATTAGGGGTTCCTAATTAAATTAAGTATCAGGTTATAACATGCTCCAAGGAGACAAGTATTGAGTGTATAAATTTGCAAGTTTTGTGAATGTAACAAAATATAATACTTGACCAAATATATTCACAATTTGAATAAACCAAGCTCCGACTTGCAAAATATATTTGTGAGTAAACTTGTAAACGTGTTAACATTAGGGGTGTTTAGAAAAATGCAAAAACTGAACTAAATCGGTAACCAAACCAAATTTTTGGTTAATCGAAAAGCTGGTTCGGTTTTGGTTCATAGAAATTGAAAAACGGCATTTTTGGTTATTGGTTTGGAAAAAAATGCAAACTTGTTTTATTAACCGGTTTACAATATTATATATATATTATAATATAAAAAAAAATCCTTAAACCTAAATCTCATTTACATATGTATGAATATTTAATTTTTATTTGTATATGTATTGTTGATGTTTACAATTTAAATCAGGAAAAATAAAAAAAATAAAAAAATTAGTTTAAGTCTTAAGGGAAAAACCGGTCAAAACCGGTTAATCGGTTTTTTTTAAACGGTTAATCGGTTTTTCAGTTAATACTGATTTTTTCCTAAACTGGTTCAGTATCGGTTAAGAAAATTCTTGAATTGAAAAACCGGTCCGGTTCAAGAAAATATTTAACCAATTTTGAACACTCCTGGTTAACAACTTAACATGCCAAGATTTGCACATAAAACCTGACTTTCTTATAAAACAAAAATAGCAGCCCAAGAGAATCGTGATCATGGATATGGGCCTATCCCATAGTTGCCAATTTCGAAGGTGTTTTGGTTTTAGAAATTAAAAGCAAAGCAAAACTACTTATTTAAAGTAGAAAGGTCAATGACATGACCAAACACAGAATGAAGTAATGTTAAACACAAAAATAGTATAAAAAATATGTTTGACAAACGCACGGAAGGGAACCCTTGTTCTAGTTGTCAAAAACATGTTTTAATTGCATGTGTTATGAGAAATATGTTTGTAAAAAATGTCATTAAAAACATTAAAAGAGTAGTTCAAGTCGAGTACTTAACCTAAGAAAGTTAACGATGCCAGCATATTGTAATAAAGAATATGAAGTATGAAAAGGCGAAGCATCAAAAAAGTATAATGCATATTCATCCAATTGAAATCTTTTTGGTATGAATTGGGGGGTTATCAAAAGAAGAAAAAAAAAAAAAAAAAAAAACAAAGGTAAATCCATAAAGCAAAAGACATGAATGATTACAAAAACAAAACTCATCCCACTACGCAACTAATTGTGATTTCAATCAAAATGACTTTTAACAAAGGTTGTGTTCTTATTGCCCTTAAAGTTGAGCATTTCAATTACATTGCACGGACAGAGACACCACATCCTCCCACTTTGCCCATCCTCAACCGCTTTTTTTCTGCTCTTTGTTGCAGGTAGAGGTAGGCATATTGAAAATATTCTGAATTTAAATCCTTACGACTATTAATAAAAGGTAATTATTAAAGGTTTATCTAACCGTTAGCTTCAGGTTTCGGAGAATTAGTTAAAATACGGATAAATTGACCCAAATAACTTTGAATACCAAAAATGAAACAAAAAAAAAAATTCACTCAGCATAACATAAATAAGTCTATTGTTCATTGGAAATGTTAATAAACAAGCATATGGAAAACGTTTACAATTAAAAATATCCGTAGCTGTGGCTTGACTAAGTTACAATGAGTGAGTAACCAAAAGATTTTTGACTGGTTCATCAAATCACCATCATATCATATCTCACTGCCTGTGTTCTTCATCATCATCACAACTCACAACTCACCGTAACCACACGTGCTGTCCACCTTCTCTTTGATTGATGGATTATGCCGTTGACTTACCTTATCATTAATGTTTGTTTCCCGGGAAATTCAGAATCTTCTCATCACATATATGAAAGGAATTGGTCATATTTTCCATCATAATTTTTGTTGATATCTTTCTTCCGAGATTATGTATCCTTTTTCTTAGGACGTGAGAGGCATGGCATTGAGACGAATTCAGTTTTTAAATAGTATGTGAATCTTTGTTAAGATTTTGTTTGATGCGCTTTCTTTTAATATGGTTTTTATTAGTTTAATTATTTATTATAGTGTCCACCAGTGGCATTAAATATCATCGTGAGAAAATTATTGGTTTATTTTTTTTTTAAATAGTATTATGATACTTGAACCACTTGAAAACATATATTATTGTTTAGTTTGATAGATTAAAAACATTTAAATTATTGGATTTTGAAAAGAAAAGAGCATGAAATTATGAAAGAAAGGTTTACATAGTCAATAAAGGATGGCAATAATTTGAATTTAGAACAAGTAGGAATAATCTCCATAGCTTGGGATCAACGCACTACTTAACAATAGCAAGCTTCTTCCTTTTAAAATTCATTATGATTTGCCAAAAGTAATTAGTTANTTTTTGTTGATATCTTTCTTCCGAGATTATGTATCCTTTTTCTTAGGACGTGAGAGGCATGGCATTGAGACGAATTCAGTTTTTAAATAGTATGTGAATCTTTGTTAAGATTTTGTTTGATGCGCTTTCTTTTAATATGGTTTTTTATTAGTTTAATTATTTATTATAGTGTCCACCAGTGGCATTAAATATCATCGTGAGAAAATTATTGGTTTAATTTTTTTTAAATAGTATTATGATACTTGAACCACTTGAAAACATATATTATTGTTTAGTTTGATAGATTAAAAACATTTTAATTATCGGATTTTGAAAAGCAAAGAGCATGAAATTATGAAAGAAAGGTTTACATAGTCAATAAAGGATGACAATAATTTGAATTTAGAACAAGTAGGAATAATCTCCATAGCTTGGGATCAACGCACTACTTAACAATAGCAAGCTTCTTCCTTTTAAAATTCATTATGATTTGCCAAAAGTAATTAGTTAATTAAAGTTAATGTCAATTTGATTAGCATAATGTTTTCGGACAAAACAAGTCAATTTGATTAGCAGAATGTTTTCGGACAAAACAAGTCAATTAAAATCATCAACACAGTAGTATATTGATTACAGTTCAGTTGAAAAATACAACTCAATCTCACAACATTTTCTTACAATCCTAACGTGATAGCAGAGTTAATATTGTCACGTCAGCTTTCATCATATCCAAGACATTAAATGATTTTGACTAAAAACAAACGATCCTTCCTTCATAAAAACAATCGTCTCTTATGAAGAAACAACTATTCCTTCAATTAGGTATGACCATTTCTTCAATTATAAGGAACAACCGTTCTATAAGGAATGAACGACCATTCCTTCAATAAAGAATTATCATTCCCTATGAAGGAACAACCGTTTTTTAGGTCTAGTCAAAATTATTTTATGCCTAAGTGTGGTGGAACTGACGTGACAATGCCAATTCAATTACCACGTTGGGGTTGTAACATAAATTTGTGAGAATTAGTTGTGGACGTAATGTTTCATGTACAACTGTTTAACCTCGGAATATGAACATAGTTATGTGATAGCTCTTTTGAATTTCCGACTTTACTGAGCTAGTAAGCTTTACTCAACTTGCACCATCCAAATAAAAAAAAAAAAAGTGTGATTTGGCTCACCCCAAATTTTTTTTTTTCTTTTTTGGGTTAAGTAGCTCACCCTATTTCTTTTGAGTCAGTTTCTGGGGTTTTGTGCAGCTGTTGAGGAGATGGAATCCAAAGGCAATATGTTTGAATTATGTATTAATGTTAACAAGTAAGATCAAGAGCTTGTAATAAAAATGAAGAAAAGTGCATAGGAGAAATAAAGTTGATAGACTTTTGGGGTGAAATATGTAGTGGGTGTCATTGCTTTTAGCTTTGACAAGAACAAATGTAGCAGATAAAGTATTATGAGATACCAGATTTTATGTACATTACAATTTGGAACAAAACATTCTACTTTCAATTTCAATAGGGTCAATAACAATAGAACGTCTGAAATCTTTTTCAAAAAAGAGACAAAAGAGTCCCCACTGCACCTAACATCTTTAATATTGGATTAAAGCCATCACATTTTTAACTACTTTCATTAATAAGTGAGATGCACTTTATAAATAAATTCATCTAATTTATTAAATATAACCTGCTATTCTAAGAGCTGTCAGTCCTATTTTAGGTCCAAGACAATGTAACATTCCATTTTTACCAATCTTCATATTCATCTTTTCATGCCAAACTAAAATCGAATGTTTACCTCATAATTATTATTATTATTTTTTTTATAATCGAGGTGTTTGAGATAACTTACGCATAGCTTAACTAATCTTCTAAAATCTTGTAAGATTAGAATTATCGACTGGATAAGAGTTTTAATGGTTGTTCTTATTAATAACCAAGATAGGACTCAAACTCAAGACAATAAAGTTTACATCATAATTTTTATCCTGGATGCTTTAAAACTTTTTTATTAGAGGCTAGCATCTTGGAATATAAATTAAACAAACAAATTCTTATTGTTTTTTAATCCCTCTTGCTAGAGTTGACTATAAGTGTCGATTTCTATTTGTTTATCAGTTAATAATGGACTAAAATGTTTTTAAAAAATATTGAAATTAATTTGTATCCAACTTGATGTTCCCATCTATAATAAAAAAAAAGATATTATTTGCAAAAAAATTTGTCTTCTTCCGGAATTTTTTTTTTTTGACAATTTTCTTACTCCTGACCTGGCCAAAACTCAATCAAAGCTCATAAAATACACACCACCTGCCACAAGCTAGAACCAAAAAACTAATTTTATACTAAACACCAGAAAATTCTGGATTTAAGATTTGATAGGATTACGCAGATGACATGAAATTCACTGAGAATTATCGTAAACATTCATGCAGAAAAGGCGTATAGTCAAATCATGATAACATTTACATCTTTTTTTGCTCTGACCTGTGTGTATAAATAAAACTAGTTTGATGAGTCAAATGAATAGCAGTAAAAAAATGGCAACAATGACAACAATGGAAACAGTTTAAAAACCAACTGGTGTTTTGTAATTGAAGCAATTGAATTGAGAGATTTAAAGGTGCCTAGTTGGACAGAAAACAGCTTTTACAAGCCAGCTGATTATTTGACTTTTAGCTATGACTGTTCAATGTTCATAGGAGAAGAGAATAGCATAGATGGGTCCTACCATAACCCATAATAATATAAAATAATAATGAAAATTTGCACAATAAATAATAACTGAATAATAAATTAGGAAAACAGTAACAGCACTTAGCGTTTTGGTTTGTGAAAGTCAATGTCCTTTCTCACTGTTTGTTAAAGAGAGGTTATCGTGGAAGATTTCGGAGAGAGAAATAGTCAATGTGAGTGGTGTTATCAATACCAGTATGTTTTTGGATTTTCTTCCTCTTCTTAAAACTGAATGAGCTTCGATGCATGTGCAGTGGAGAGGCTTTTTCTTAGCTTTTATTTCTTTTGCAGTGAACACATAAAAAGGGACAATTTTTCTTTTATTTTTTCTATCAAACCATTTTCTTTTTTCTACATTCATTTTTCAGAGTGTTCTCATGTTGGTTGTGAGTGTTTCTCTGTAAATTTTGGGATCTGGGTTTTGTGGTCTAGGGTTTGAGACTTTGACTCTCTTTCTTTCTTCCTTTGGGGGTTTGACTTTCTTACTTTCTGGGGCATTTAATTTCAGTGAGTTTTTACCTGAAATTTGTTGAATTTGATCCACTGACTCACTTGTGTCAACGTTTCTGGTTTGGGTTTTTCTCTAAATGGAATTCTTGTAGATGGGTTTCTGAAAACATTTATTTTTAGGGCTTTCTTGATCTGGGTTCAAGATCCGTTATTTTTGTTTCCTGGGTTTGTTTTAGATGGGCTAAAAAGCGAATTTTTTTAGTTTTTGTTAAACTTTACCTGATTTTCTTTTCTGGGTTTTCTGTAAAGTTAGATTCTTGATGCCAATGCATCTTTCACTGTGGAAACCTATATCTCACTGTGCTGCTCTAATCTTGGACAAGAAGAGCAGCAAGAAAAAAGATGGGTCTGATTCCACAGTTGATATTAAGAAGAACCCATCAATTCTTCGTAAACTTGAGGAGAACAGGCTTAGAGAAGCGCTTGAAGAAGCCTCCGAAGATGGCTCACTCATCAAATCACAAGATATCGAGTCCGAGTCTCTTGCCAATCAAGAGGAGAGCTTAGGCCGATCAAGATCTCTTGCAAGACTCCACGCTCAGCGTGAGTTCTTGCGAGCCACTTCTTTGGCTGCGGAGAGAATTTTTGAGTCAGAAGATAGCATTCCTGACCTCAGTGAAGCTTGGAACAAGTTCTTGACAATGTATCCCAAATATCAGTCATCTGAGAAGATTGATCATTTGAGGGAAAATGAATATTCACATTTATCACCTAAGGTATGCCTTGATTACTGTGGATTTGGCCTTTTCTCTTTTGTCCAGACTTTGCATTATTGGGAATCTTCTACATTTAGTTTGTCTGAGATAACTGCTAATTTAAGTAATCATGCTCTTTATGGTGGTGCTGAGAAAGGAACTGTTGAACACGATGTAAAGGTTAGGATAATGGATCATTTGAACATACCTGAGAATGAGTATGGTCTTGTTTTCACTGTGAGCAGAGGCTCTGCTTTTAAATTGTTAGCTGAATCCTACCCGTTTCATACCAACAAGAGATTATTGACCATGTTTGATTATGAGAGTCAATCTGTGAATTGGATGGCTCAGAGTGCTAAGGAGAAGGGGGCAAAGGTTCAAAGTGCATGGTTTAAATGGCCAACTCTTAAACTTTGCTCTACTGATTTAAGAAAGCAAATTTCGAGTAAGAAGAGGAGGAAGAGGGATTCTGCAGTTGGCTTGTTTGTGTTTCCAGTGCAGTCTAGAGTTACTGGGGCTAAATACTCGTATCAATGGATGGCACTTGCTCAGCAGAATCATTGGCATGTCTTGCTTGATGCTGGGTCATTGGGCCCTAAAGATATGGATTCGCTTGGATTGTCATTGTTCCGGCCAGATTTCATCATCACATCATTTTATAGGGTGTTTGGATATGACCCTACTGGCTTTGGATGCCTTCTAATTAAGAAATCTGTGATGGGAAACCTTCAGAATCAATCTGGGCGTACAGGGTCTGGAATGGTGAAGATTACCCCTGAATATCCTTTGTACCTTAGTGATTCTGTTGATGATCTGGACAGATTGACTGGAGTTGAAGATAATGAGGTTGTTGCGAATGGTGATAAACCATCCGAGATTCGCCCAGGTACTCAGTTGCCAGCCTTTTCTGGTGCATTCACATCTGCTCAGGTGAGAGATGTATTTGATACGGAAATGGATCAGGACAACAGTTCTGACAGGGATGGAACAAGCACCATATTTGAGGAAACTGAGAGTATCTCTGTCGGGGAAGTAATGAAAAGTCCAGTTTTCAGTGAAGATGAGTCGTCAGACAACTCATTGTGGATTGATTTGGGTCAGAGTCCGTTGGGGTCTGATAATGCTGGGCACTTGAACAAACACAAAATTGCCTCTCCCTTACCACCCTTTTGGTTCAGTGGCAGGAAGAACCACAAGCGACTCTCTCCAAAGCCAACATCAATGATGTATGGCAGCCCAATTTATGATGACAAAGAGGTAAACCTGGGGCCAAATGGTGACCACCATGTGCTCTCATTTGATGCTGCCATTCGATCAGTTTCGCAGGAATTGGACCGTGTGAAGGAAGTTCCTGAAGAAGAGCAATTTCCAGAAAAAACCCCTAATTCTCGAAGTAACAATAACGGTCTAGGCCGTCCACCTGTTCAGGAAATTCAGGAAGAACCTGGTATCAGCAAGCCACTTTCTACTGAGTCTGCATCCAATTCTGCTATAAATGGTTCTCTTCTCAATAATTCAAGTTCTGCTCTGCAGCATCACAGCTTAGCAAATGGCTTGAGCTCTGAGATTTGCCCTGAGATCAAGGAAAGTGCGATAAGAAGGGAAACAGAAGGTGAATTTAGGTTGTTGGGGCGGAGGGAAGGGAATAGATATACTGGGGGTAGATTTTTTGGTTTGGAAGATAATGAACATCCAAGCAGGGGGAGAAGGGTATCCTTTAGCATGGAAGACAATCGCCGAGATCGTTTAAGCCATACTTTGGAGCCAGGAGAAGTATCTGCTACCAGCGTTGACGATGAAGACTACACCAGTGATGGGGAATATGGTGATGGACAAGAGTGGAACCGCAGAGAACCTGAGATTATATGCCGGCATCTTGATCATATTAATATGTTAGGTCTTAATAAGACCACTCTCCGGCTATGGTTTTTGATCAATTGGCTCGTGACCTCATTGCTGCAACTAAGGTTCTCTGGTTCAGATGGTGAGAGCAGAGCAAATCTGGTTCACATCTATGGCCCTAAAATAAAATATGAAAGGGGTGCAGCAGTGGCCTTCAATCTGAGAGATCGAGAAAGGGGGTTGATCAATCCAGAGGTTGTTCAGAAGCTGGCAGAAAAAGAAGGTATATCTCTGGGCATTGGTTTCCTCAGTCACATTCGGATCTTGGACGCTCCACAAAAGCAGCGCTCGGGTCTCGAAGATACAACACTGTGCAAGCCAATGGAGAATGGTCGACATGATGGGAAAGGTGGATTCATTAGGGTTGAGGTAGTTACAGCTTCTCTTGGTTTCTTGACAAACTTTGAGGATGTTTACAAGTTGTGGGCTTTTGTGGCAAAGTTCCTTAACCCTGCCTTCATCAGAGAAGGCGGCACACTTTCAACTGTTGAAGAAGATTCAGAGACATAAGTTATGTAACTGTTGTAGATGAACTTAGTACAGTTTGAAGAAAGATGGAATCTTTTGTGCACGGAAAATCCACATAGGAAGTCTAAGAGTTGAAGCTAAAGATTCAGATTCCCCCAGAAAGTATTACAGTATTACTGCTGTGTGGCATGGTTTTTTGGTTCTTTCTCAGGCTCTTGTATGCAAGAGTTTGAGTCGAAGCAAAAGATTCAGATGCTCCCAGAGAGTACTAGAAAGTTCTTACTACTGCGGCGTGGTTTGTTTGTTCTTCCTAGGGACTCTTGGATACAAGGCGGGTGAATTTGCTAATTCAGTTTGCTGCTTGATATTTACTTTTTTCTTTTTGTTGGGTAATTGTAGAGTTGGCTTTAGATGTATGTATCATCCCAGAAAGTCTTCTCAGAATCAGAGTTATAAGGGCACAATCTTCTTCATTTAACTTCCTGCTTATGCCCTACAGAAAATGGAATTCCTTGCTATTGTAAACAATTAGTTTATTTTGCCTGCTGCAGTTTTATATAATATACAGTGGCATGTTCACTACCTTGAATTCTAGTTTCAATCTGCAGATTCGTAGTCTACACGTGACGGGAGTTGTTATACTTGGAGGAGGCTCTTAAATTTGATGTAATTGGACTCTTCAAGTAACATTTTTCTGGGAGTCAATTTGAATTTTCTTTGTTTAAATTTCTGGTCTTCTGACAGGGAAGGAACAGATCTTATTATATGGTAAAGCTCCCAAGTATCCTCCATTGCTCCAGAACGTTGTTCTATCATATATGGCTGGGTACCGTAATTTGCACAAAATAATGTTCGGTCTTTTGACTAATATTAAGAGTTTGATGGGAAAATCTGTCTTAATAGTTTAAATTCATGATAAGCATTATGTCTTAATCAGTCTAACACATATATTCATCAGGTCTTAATCAGTTTACGTAAGTTGAAGTTGCTGATACAAGAACACGACTTGCACAAGATAGTCGTTGTTACTGACGAGTTTTCTAATTGAACCCGGCTTGAGCTAGTATTATTTGAGGATAGATTAGGTGAAATCAAAAACCAAGGAAAATGTGACACGTTATTGAAAAGAAAAAGATATTCCTAGCATGATATAAAGCTCATCATCAACCTAGAAAAAGTGAAAGAAACTAAAGTTTGGCTGATTCAAGGTTATGGGGTCTCTTTTCTCACATCAATTATCATAATTGGGCCATACCCATAAAGTTTTGTTTCCCATTGTCATAATAATTAAATGGTACGTATCATTCTACTTCTTTTTCTCTCTTTTGCTCTAGCCTCTAGTAGATTCTTGTGCTCCAGGAAAGCTTCAATGGCTCTGTTTACACAAAGTTCCATTTGTTATGAATATCTACTGCAAACTTTATTTTTATTCTGGGGCCATCCACCGCAAACTTCTTTTGATAACATGAAAATGATTATAGACCTACTTTCGCATAAAAGAAACAAAACCGACAAAACCTACTCTCTTCTACTGGATCTTGTATTTTTCATACGGTAAGTAAACACTATTATGTTATTATAAACAAGATTGCATAACGGGACGAGTGATGCCAAATTTTTTACCTGTTTTGACAGCCCCTGGTATGGACATGGTAAGCTGTCTTCTGAAGAGAGCTTGGTGGTTGGTGACAGTGAACCGTTGACAAACTTACGCAGCTGGCTAAATTTAGCATGTCATCATCGTCAACATCATCAACTAATATCAACCAAATGAATAAAAATTCAAAAGGGGATAGTAAAAGCTTCTCGAATTATATAACCTGTTATTATTTTAATTAAAAATGAGTACATAAATTAGATTGATATCAATATGTACAGATAACTAACTTACAACTCAAAACATTTGATAGCAACTGACAACCAAAACTCAGGTCTAATGCGTGCACCATCTAAAAGCCTTTAATGTTTTCTTTATATTGGTTGCTTTTGCAAAAGGAACCAAATTACATTTGCCAGATCGTCCAATATCACCAAAAAAATGTGGATTCCCTACATTGAATTATTCTACTGTGACCAAAATGGGACCTAAATAATGTAAACGATGCATTACTTTAGTGCCCCTGAATTTAACGTTACAACAAATGGCCAAATCAACTGATTTGGTAGGAAATGTTGGTAGTAAGGTTAGTCCTCCATCATCTTTATGAGAAATGCAGTCTCAAGTGCTGACTCCTTGCACTGTAGGTATCTGTTTTCTTCCACTATATCTGTTGTTAAATTGAGCAGTATTGGACGTTTGGGGTCATAAATAGAAGAGTCGCGCACTCTTGCAACCCATTTTGCAGCTTCCCAGACCCCAAATCTGAAGCACACCAAACATTAAAGATTAATAATACCCCAATAATTTAGAACATGAAAGAAAAAAGCAAAAGTAGAATAAATTATTATATAGAGATCAAAAGCAAAATTTTCATCATAGAAACATGTATATCTATCAATTCAGGCACACAAAAGCATTGAATAATAAAGCCCTACTGGCATACACAAGCCACTGATACGGGACTTTAAGGCAAAGCATATCTTCGAATGGAAGTACATAATATATATTTTTTGTTTAAGATTCAGAACAATCTTCAACCACATCAGCAGATTGTTTTCAACATAACTCAGCTGTGAGCCTAATTTAATAATCAGAGTAAACATAATTTCTAAATGGATAAGCCCAACCATCCCCATTTCTACAATAAACAAGCTGTAATTTACTTTTAAGGCTTTACTATTTTCATATGGCTTATGGATCACGAACCTGAAAAATCTTTAATTAAGACATGAGATCACAAATGAACCCTCCATTGTGGAACTGGGCTCCCATAAATAGATTAGGAAAAAATCACAGCGGTTGGAAAGAGTAAAGAGTAAAAAATTACAAAAGGTGCTCTCCTTCTCTTGTCACTTCCACATGCTGTAAGTGAATTTACAAACGCTAGAAGTTATCAGGAAGTTATCAGCATAACAATCTCTAAACTTCAGACAGTTTAGAGATTAAGCTAAATTCTTATAAGGGTTCAGACAGTTTCAACATTAAGCTAAATTCTTTGTTTACAGACACAGAGAGTGATGTTACCATCACAGGTATGATTGATATAAGCAATAAAGACTCTAAAATCACCTTTAGAAATCATTAGCTTTTCAGCGTTATGATTTATCCTGTTTGACCTCATCATTTACCTTCAAAAGTTTTGCATATATATACACACACCTTTGCTAATCACATAAATGCAAAATTTTTGAAGGTAGCCAAGTGAAAAATTAGGTCAACAGGATGGACTATAATGCTTAAAAGTTTGGCTTGCAAAGGTGGTCTTTAGTGTGCGTATATATATAGGATCAAGATTCTGTGACTTAATTTTTTTGACATAAAATTTAGACAACATTTCATAACCATCCAATTAATTCAATCCAATGGTTGAAGAAAGGAAGTTAAGATGTATTCACTACAATGCCAACTCAACAACTTTCAACTATTAGATTGAAATAAATGAAGCGCTATTATTTATATACATATGTGTGTGTATGTGTATGTGGATACATATATGTGTATATACATATATGTACATGTATATATTACATATATGTATATGAATATGTTACATATATGTATATTGCTAGGAGGACCTTACACTATCACGTAGAAGCTGCAATGCTCATGAATCTAACCCTTTGGATAATCTTATAAGGGTTTCAAACTTGTTAAAGTTATCACAAACTCTTTGAGCTCCTCTCATGCTTCTATCTATATCATCTCACATCTAGAGAGATCAAGAAGGATACCAGTCATCAAAATCTATTTCCTAATCTTAACCATAATCCAGTGACGAAGGCAGTCATATGCTCAAACTAAAGATATTTGTATCGGTCCACTTCTTTAATAAAAAAATTAAAAAAAAGAAAAGAAAAGAAATAAAAGTCCACTTCTATCAAGCAAAGAGAGGTTAAACAACACTAAGAAGAAAAGGTAGGGACAATAACAAATTTCTAAAGTCAACACAATGCACGAAACAACTTATTTTGATGTAACAACTCTCTTAATACGATTAACACTCACAACTCTGATTGGCAGACTTTTCACCTGGCAGTTCTTATAGTGTTGCTACTTCATAACATTAGGAAATTACCGTGTATTGAAAGATGATGTCACAAATACCGCTGGATACAGAACATCCTTCTGAATGTTGTCATAGGGAGAATAATTACGGATGGCATGAAAATCATCAATGTCTCCGGGGTACCCAAACTCTTCATAGTCGGCAGCTATGAGTGGTAAAATGGGATACAGAAGAGTATTGGTTGCATCTAAAAATGGAACCTGGAACAGATACAGTTGTACAAAGTTAAAAAATCCATCCCAGATTAAAAAAATTGAGTCCTAAGTACATAAGATTTATATAGATAAAAAGTCTCATTACAGCAATGCATTTGCAATCCATTACTTTGGCTCCGTTCAAGGAGCTTAATACAAGAATTGGGCCCTTATTTGTCAAATTTAGCTTCAGGATCAAGTGATTAATTAACACGGTATTAGAGCAGAGGTCTTGTGTTCAAATCCCCCATGTGATATGTATTTGCATGCATCTAAGTTTAGTCTAATCCATGTTACATGTGAGGGAACACGCAGCAGAATCTTGATACTAATGCTGGCTCTTACCTCCAAAGCTTAAATTTTTGGATCTAAGTGATTAATTAACAGGTTCCACTCAGTTAAAAACTGATGATACTCAACCTAATTAAGCCTCAATCCAAATAAATTTTGAAGAGAGATAATAATGAATTTTAGCGTAAAATTGTTCCATATAAGAGTAGTGAAACCCCATGCAATAAGTAAGCAGAATAGAGCAAAGCTACAATGACAAAGCAGTACATTTATGTATACCTTTAAAACAGCAGCCCGAAATAAATCAGGTCGATAATTGATGGCTGAAGCAACCAAAAGTCCTCCAGCACTATATCCCCAACCAGCAAGTTTGTTTTCCTGTACAATCTCTTTCTCGATAAGGAACTTGGCACAAGAGATATAATCTTTGATGGAATTCAGCTTCTTTGTACTTCTGCCATCATGATGCCATTTTTTACCCCCACCACCTCCGCCTCTGGGAAAAGATCATCCAAATAATCTTATTAAAAGGTAGGTTATCAAAATGCTTAGTAAAAATTGCAAGTTCAATTTTAAAGAAGTATTAGCACTTCATAACAGGACTTCAAACACGAATAAAAAGGCAGCTTCCCAAAAGAAAACCTTGCACTGCTAATTCCCTCAAACCTACCTAACATCAGCATAAGCAATAACCCAACCACGATCAAGAAGGCTTTTCAACTCACTGCGCCACCGCTTGTCAAGTAATTCACCATAAGCTCCGTGCCCATGAAGCAATCCAGGATTTTGATTCTCTTTTCCATATTTGCGAGAATATACAATAGTTAAAGGAACCAAAGTTCCATCATATGAAGAGACATCATGATGTTCACAAGCATAAAACTCAGATAGGTCATTCCATAAGTTATCTTCATGTTTTACTTCATTCTCAGAATTGCTACTCTTGATATTCATTGATTTCTCAATGATGCCTGCAGAAGATGCTGTTCCATACAAAATTCTTGTCCTTTCATGAAGCATATTTTGCTGTTGAATGATATTCCACTTTCCATTTGATAAGTCATAATCAACAACAGCATCAGGCATCTGTATAATATTTGGAAGAATGGATTTGATAGTAAGATGCATAATGTTATTCGGAATAAAATGAGAAAAGAAACTAATATTTGCATGGCTTTAAGGATAGTAAAAAAGATAGCAACAAATCAATCTTTTTTTTTTTCCAGAATAAGTAATACCGCATGAATCTATAGAATGGATTCAATCTTTATCAACTAATGCTCACTGGACCTAACCTCGACAACTAAAACCTTATAAACCCAAATCACATAGGTGCCCAAATGAACAGAAAATTTTAATATCTGTTATCAGTTGTTTAATAGAAGGATCAACTTACATAGAATACCACAAAGTTAAAGGTCCAAATCACGGTTTTGATAGTAAAGCCACTTCATAGACACCTACATGTATTTATGGAACCCTGCGAACCAATTCACATATCTTCCAACCATGTTTATGTCATAATTCTTATACAAAAGTGACACTATTACCACTAACTAGATATTATACAAACTAGATGTTATATGAAAATATATCACCTTAAAGCATGCTGAAACTATCTTCAGAAGGTAATGGTCAAGAGGGCTCACATACCACAGGCGATGATAATGTGAAGCGCATAGTTGATGAGTAGTAGTCATAATTAGGTCCTGGTGATATTTGAGACACATATTTTGGAAGTGGAAGGAAATGAGGGTGAAGCTCCTTCAAGTGAACAGTTCCCTGCCAGAGCAGGATGGGATGATATGAGAATAAGAAAAATTAAGAGAGTATGACAACTGTATTCATGGTGAAAGTGCTGCAAAGAATGCATTATAAACATGAAAGCTCAAGATGGTTGTTCTAGTTGTCTCACCTGTCCAACAGGAAAAGGTAGAGCAACTGAACAAAGTCTAAATTTCTGACCTTCCCTTATGATAAGCGCCAAATGCGTGTTGCAGAAATCAACATCTTCTACAACCAAATCTTGGCCATCATCAAATACAGTCTGCAGTAAATATGATAGTCGATTATTAAAAGAGTATAGCAAGTGAAAGTAACAACAGAAAAAAAGCATCTAAATATCTAAATTATGCAAAAATAAGCACATACTAGCTAATATGACAAAACTTTTTTCATCAAAGAGAATATGCAGATAAAAGAGTGCATTTAGAAACTCAGAAAGAAAAAAAATGAAGAAAAACAGGTGGTCTTGAGCTACAAGCAGTATGCAAGTGATGAACATGGAAGCACTTCCTTGGACAATTACAATTTTTTAGGACCAAGTCAGAACAAACGTAATTACATATAAGAAGAAACAGAACTAACCACCAACCTCCCAGATTCTAGGACTGGAGGGAGCATCGACAGGAGTACGAAGAAGATAATGATGATCAACAACTTGACCATCTTTGGCAGCATCTGTAAATAAATAGATGTACCTTTGATGATGCTCAACTATGCAATGGGCCAGACCTTCACACTCCCAAACTAGTGTCATGCCAGCAAATGGATCAGCTGCATTGATCAGAAAGACCTAAAAGATGATCACAATTATTATAGAGACTTATAACTGATGTAATTAACATCAACGGAACTTAAGTTGACAGCAAAATGTTAAAGTGGCACCTTTGATGAAGTAGTTGAAAATGTATTTACAGTCACAAAATGGAAGTCTTTTGTGTGTCTTATGTTAACATAAACGTTTTCATCTGGTTCCTCTAGAAGCAAAACATCCTCATCAGTTGATCCAATAATGCTACAGTAAATCCTGAATTTAAAAAAAAAAAAAAAAAAAGGGAAAAAGTTTCAGCTTTATACTGCTCAGTTTAATAGGCAAGTGGATACATTATAAAACGATGAGACACACCGGTACGGCCTCTTATTGTCATCAGTAACAACATAAAGCAATGTCTGCCCATCTTTGGCCCATGCTATATTTGACACCCGAACTGCTTGAGGCTTACTACATAATGAACCGGAATTCAAATTCCTTACAGATAGTTTAAAGTAGTCATTGTCTTTATCATACATGGTGTATGCAAGGAACCGATGATCCGGTGACACTTCTGATAATTCTTCATAAGCATATCCTATAAAAAAAAATTAATATAATGAATGAAGACATAATAGCTGTCCAGAAAATAAACTAAAAACCAGCAAAGGAAAGATTCTCATAACTACATAGTTTCATCCAAAAAAGCAACTCTTTCAATTCTCTTTCAGTTTTTATATCCAAGATTCAGAAAAATGCAAAAGTGACTGTCATTACAAATTAATTTAAAGCCATCCTTCATTTCACTTTTCTCTATATCATGTTTATCAGCAACTGAAGAACATTTTCGAAAAAAGAAAGCAACAGTACCTCCAAATCTCTCAGCTTCATGATTGTAATCAAGTAGCTTTTGCTCAATTTTCTTCCCAGAGGTAAAATCAAAGCCAGCTGCTGGAGATTTATGCGAAATGAATTCTTCATTTAAGCTTGCTAATCTCCGACACAACACAGAATACTGCTTTCCTTCTTCAACCCGCCGATAGTACAACCTGCGGTGATGAAGATCCACACCTTGAAATGGTAAAATGACTCTTCAGATTCTAAAACAAGAAGGGTTCTTAAACGGAACCATTAATCGTATAAGTTTCCTCTATCTGAGGTCCAAGTTTTTTTTTTTTTTTTTTTTTCCTTCTCTCTTAAAGACCCCTTCTCTCAACAAAGATTTGAATAAGTACTTAGCATAAGATATCCATTTTTTTTTTTTTAAATCAAAACAACTTAAATTATTTCATCCAAAATACCATTCTCAAATAACCAAATGTGCTTGAAGAATCTTAGTAATTTATTAGTTTTTCCTTCTCCTATATTTTTCCACAAGAAAACCAACAAATGAAATTCAAAACTTCCAATTCATTTCATCGCAGAAAGTAAGTACATTTTTAACATGTATCAAACAAACAAAACGAATCGTATTGTTACCAAGGACCCCAGCGGAGGGGAGGGGTGGAAAGGTCGAAAGCCAGGCGAGAAGCCATTTCGGACTGGAGCTTAGACTGAAGTCTCTCAGTGTCCGATAAAACAGCTTCAGTGTACTTCTCTTCTTGCTCCATGTACACGTCCATATGGCGCATGGCCACTTTGTCGTTCAGACTCGACATCCAACTGTACGGGTCCTCCCACGTGTGGTCATGGAATGTAAAGCTCTGCAATTTTTTCGGGGGTTTTGGAGGGGAGGGAGGGGCCGGAGGTTTTGATGGTTTCGGTGGCTTGTAGTGGCGGACAAGGATTAAACAACGGTGGCGGATGGTGGTTAGGAGGAGGTGCATGGTGGCGATCGCTGGGTTCAGGGTTTAACAGCCCGTGGACTGTGGTGAGAACTCTTGGGTTTAACAGTTTAAGAGTTCTGCTTGTTCTCGTTCATACTTAAAAGGAGAGAACTGGTCCCTAATTTTTGTCAGAAGTCTTCTTTACGCCACTGTTTTCAGAAAGTAACACATTCATCCCTATATTTTGAAAAATGTTACGTTTACAACCCATTCTCACAACTTTTTTTTACAACCCTAACGTGTCAGCAGATTGGCACTGTCATGTTGCTCCCACTACAACCAAGGCACCCAAGACACTACTAAAAACGAAGCAGATTGGCACTGTCACGTTGCTCCCACTACAACCAAGGCACCCAAGACACTACTAAAAATGAACGACCATTCCTTCATAGGGAACGATCGTTTCTTTGGTGGAGAGCTAACATGACAGTGTTAACTCAGTTGTCACGTTGGGATTATAAGAAAAGTTTGTGAGAATAGGTTGTAGGCGCAGTATTACTCCTATATTTTATGTACATTTATAATAGACAATAGGTGGGCTTTTTGGTCTCTTTCTATCAACTTTTAATTTTCCAGATTTTCTAAATAAAAAATTGTTTTAATAATCATATTGATAAATTTAAAAATGATAGTGTAAAAACATTAGGCTAATGTAAAACACAATAATAACCATTTCACCACCACCCAAAACTATTTTATAAAGAAAAAAATCATAAAACATATATTTATTCTATACAATAACCATATGCTAAAAGATTAAAATAAACAATTATTAACATTAACTTTAAAAAATAAAATTATGTAACACACTTCACTTAAATCCTTGTATAATTATTCTTTTTTAAACTATATATATGTATGTGATACAGTATTAGGTTAATGAAGGTGTGTGAATGATTTAAATAGTAATGACATTATTGATGATGTGTCGAGCTTTACACATTGCCTCCAATGGGTGAGCTTTGGGCATGGTGAGCCCTTTTCCTTCACTCATGTCAATTTCTATTTCATCAACTTTCTCCCACTCAAAACATTGGATCAGTGCCCCCAATGTCAAGCCCACAAAACGCTGGCCCAGCCCAAACCCAGGACAAGCTCTTCTTCCCATACCAAAAGGCATTACCTTTTGAATGTCACCTTCTCCGTTATCAAATCTCTCTGGCTTGAAACTTGTGGAATCAGCCCATAACATTGGATCCCTGTGAATGGCCCATGATTTAACTAATAGAATTGTGTCACGTGGCACATTGTAGCCCCCTACCTTGCAAACATCAGATGCCATGTGAGGGAGGAGAAGTGGAGTTGGTGGATATAAACGAAAGGTCTCGGATATGATATTTTGAAGGTAATGTAGCTTCCCAAGATCTGCTTCCTCAATCAGCCGTTCTTCACCAACTACACCATCTAATTCAGCTCTGGCTTTCTTCAATACTTCTGGGTGGTTAAGCAAATTTGACATTGCCCATTCCAATGTCACAGATGACGTGTCGGTTCCCGCTATGAGCATAACCTGCAAGATGACATGTCATTTATGCTTTGAGCTAAATATAATTTATAAATATTATGTCATTTCATTTTAAATAGTACCTTCGAATTATTATTTCTCAAGTGATGCTATTGTCATCGTTCTTACTAATTAGTTAATGTTATTATATTATATGATTTGATATCTCAAAGTTTCAATCAAATGACATTTTTGTAGTATTTCTAATATTTTACTGAAATATATATCATTATCCCCCCAATCCACCAAAGGATGATACCAAGATAACAAAAAGATGAAACAAGATCACATCAAACTAACAGATATATATATACTGCCACGGTTAAAGAAATGAATATAAGAATTATGTATCATAAGTATTAATTAGTTTAAAAATATTAAGTTTATAACTCAATCTCACAACCTTCTCTTACAACTATAATGTGTCAGCAGAGTTTGCATTACCACATCAATTGACAACCAACAAGAGTCATTTCGAGATCATCATGGGACGACAGTCAAACACACCTCTTTCTCTAGCCACATGCTATGATGGGAAGAGTCCCGCAGCCTTCAGGTTAGCCAAGTCATGGCACGAATAAACTGAACTTGCTCGTGCAGCTCTACATAAGGCAGCAAAGAGAATGAAAAAGTGGGTAGACAAGAAAAGGAGGCACGTTGATTTCCAAGAAGGTGATCTTGTTCTTGTAAAGCTATTGCCCCAACAATTCAAGACACTAAAAAAGGTGCACAAAGGCCTAGTGCGCAAATATGAAGGGCTCTTTCCAGTGATACAACGCATCAGCAAAGTTTCGTATCGACTCTAACTTTCTCCGAAACTGAAGATACATCCGGTTTTTCATGTAAGCTTGCCAAAGCCATTCCATGAAGACCCAGAGGAGCCATCTCGAGGAGTCTTTAAATGAGCACCAACAGCCGTTGTAACATCCTTTGACAAGGAGGTTGAAGAAATACTTGCTAATAGAGTCATTCGCCGACGGGGTGTGCCAAATTACCGGGAATACTTCATCAAATGGAAGGGACTTCCCGATGCCGAAGCCAGTTGGGAGACCGAAGACTCATTATGGCAATTCCAAGACTCAATCCTGCGCTATAAGGATAATGCGACGAGGGCGTCACAGCATTAGGTGTGGGAGAATGTCACGACCGGTTTGCTTGTTGACTTAAGTGTGTTGCACGTTGCTTAATAGTTAAGTAAACTTAGTGGTTAAGTATACTTCATAGCTAAGTAAACTTAATGGCAAAGGAACTTCAAGGATAAACATTATCCATTCCCAAAGTTGCCACCTAGTGTTACTTAAGGATTAAATATACAATGTATCTAATCATATGCTTTGAAGAAGTTTAGCCTATAAATAGGCCACTCCCCTTTGTAAAGTTCATAAGTTGTAATCCTTCAATATAGAGTTTACATTTTCTTTATACTTATCCTTCTCATTTGCATACTGTTAGTCTTTAAGTTTGTGTGAGTGTTAGGCTACTTAACACATTTCTGAAGTGTTAAGGCCGCACGGACTTAGCAAAGAAGTTAAGTGCGTGACAAGTGGTATCAAAGCCTCGGTTGGTAGAACCTCCGTTTTTATTCAATGGCAAAAGATACCGTCGTTTCAACAAAGGGATCCAAGACGGCCAAGATGGAGACTTCCTAAGAACGTGATCGTCCGGAGAGAGTCGACCCCAACCCCAACCCCAACCTCTCAAGGCAGAGAGGTAAGTTCAAAGACTTTATTTCCAGTTTTGACTCACGCCTATCTTGTATAGAAGAAAGGGTGAGCGCACAGTCGGAAGAGCTAGATCATCGAGTGGATGATCTAGAGACGGAGGTTACCGAAACCCACATTGTCGCGAAAGCTATGCTGCTTCAATTAGAGGAGTCATTAAGGACCGAAATGGGGAAAATCCGTGAGGAGTTCGTAGGGGAGCTTGCCAAGACCCGTCATGTGTTCCAAACTGAAGTCAATAGCACACTTGTTCGCTTAGATGAGGTGCAAGCTGATGTAGCGCACCATGGTTGCAAGGACCAGCAGCAACGTTATTGAAAGTCAAAGGATTGACATACCAAGGCATAAAAGCTTTGGTGGCTCACGCAAGGCACAAGAAGTTGACAACTTCTTTTGGGGACTAGACAAGTACTTTGGGGTCGTAGGCGTCACGGAGGAAAGCTCGAGGATTGAAACTATAGTCCTCTATCTCAAGGACACAGCAAGGCTATGGTGGAAGAGAAGAGAAGGATTACAACTTATTAACTTTACAAAGGGGAGTGGCCTATTTATAGGCTAAACCTCCACAAAGAATATGACTAGATACATTGTATACTTAATCCTTAAGTAACACTAGGTGGCAACTTTGGAAATGGATAATGTTTATCCTTGAAGTTCCTTTGCCATTAAGTTTACTTAGCTATGAAGTATACTTACCCACTAAGTTTACTTAACTATTAAGTAATGTGCAGCACACTTGAGTCACCAAGCAAGCTGGTCGTGAAATATGAACAGTCATTCCTTAGAAACAAACAAAACCTTTCCTTAAGGAGGAACGATCGTTCTTCATAAAGAATGATTGTTTCATTTATAAGGAACAATCATTCATTTATCCTTATAAATGAATGATTGTTTCATTTATAAAGAACAATCATTCATTTATCCTTATAAATGAATGATTGTTCATTCATAAGGAATGATCATTCCTTATGAAGGAAAGTCTGTTTGTCTCTAAGAAACAACCGTTTGTGTTCAGTCAAAGTTATTTAGTGTCTTGAGTATGGTGGGAGCTGTGAGAATTGTCAACTCAGCTACCACATTGAAATTGTAAGAGAAGATTGTGAGATTATGTTGTGCGTGTAGTATTACTCTAATTCGTTATATGAAACAATCTTTATGTTTAGTATTACTCGAAACAAGAAACATGAAAAAGGATGAAAGATTAGCTAGCAACCGACATTCGTTCCTAGAAGAAAAGTATTGGTGTGTTTGTTTTATTATTTATACCCTGTCCTACCAAAAATATATATTTGTTTCCTTACTCAGAAAATCCAATTCTATTATATTCAACTATTTTTAAACCCCCTAGGTTTGTTAATTTAACTAAACACTCCCAACAAAAAAAAGTTAATAAATTGACAAAAACACCCCCACCTACCCACATTTGCCAAATTCCGGCCACCACCGCTGGATTGTGGCCGTAATCTAGTGTAATAGCGTACTACTAGCTGGATCTGACTGGTAGTACGCCTATCTAGCATTTTCCGACAAGATCCACCGTAGATCTGACTGGAAAATGCCAGATCTATGGCCAAAGATTTGGTTGTTGATAGCCAGATCTTTGGCCACATCTGGTTGTCAACGATGACCAGATCTGATCGTAGAGTTGACTGAAATCTATCATAATGACACACGACTGGCTAGATTCTTTCGGCGATGATGGCTGGAATTTAGCAAATGTGGGTGGGTAGAGGCATTTTTGTCAATTTTTAATTTTTTTATTATAGAAAGTATTTAATTAAATTAATAAACTGAAGATGTATTTTTGTTAATTTTTAAATCTTACCTTGACTCAACTCAACTTTTTCAAAAATCATAATCCATATAATAAAACAAACGCATAGTGTTCTGGAAAGTCAACAAATTAACTTTCAGATGATTGAATTTAACAGTCACGCAACCAATAGCCAAAAGGTAGACTAGTCAAATGGAGCGAAAAATAATAAAAAAAAAATTCTTTTATATTTGTTGTAAGTGAAAATCTGAACTAACCAGTATAAGCCCTTTGATTATCTGATCAGTGTAGTAATCAGGTTGTGATTGTTGTAAAGAAAGTAGATGATCAATCATGGTGTTTCTAGTCTCCTTTTGTAATCGATGCTCTTCTATCAAACCTCGGAGAAATACATCCACCTTTTTACCAAGCTTCACCAACTTCTTCTCATAACCACCGAAACCCATCCAACCCAAAATGGGCAAAAAATCTACTGGATGCGACGCCCCACCATTTTCCGTTACCTCTGCTATAAGTTTCCTAAACTTCTTTGCCTCTTCATTATCACTCACGTCATCACCATAGTATCGCTTCCCTGAAATCATTCGCATAATATTATTAAACGTTAACTCAGTCAACAATGGTCTCAACACTACCTTTGCGAAGCCGTGGAGCGAATTATTGGACAACGTTTTCAGCAAGTGCTTTAGTTCGTCTTTTCGAATGTTTGAAAACGAATTAAGACGGTTGGATGAAAAGATTTCGAGTGTACATATGCGTCGAAGGTTGCGCCAGTAGTCGCCATAGGGTGCAGCCACCAAGGTCGAGCTATTGTAACCTATATGTTTGCCTGTGAGTAACAAAGGGCGGTTGGCGAAGATGGTGTCGTGTTTGGTGAAGCATTCCTCAGCGAGTGAGGATGAAGATACGATTACCACTAGGCGGGATCCGAACCAGAGGGAGATTATTGGACCGTATTTTTGTGAGAGTTTGTGAAGAGTGCGGTGTATGGGTGGTCTACGAAGATATTGGAGATGGCCGATAATTGGAAAAGAAGGTGGGCTTGGAGGGAGGTTTCTGTATTTTGTTTTTGATCGTAAACACAAGTTCAAAACTAGAACAAGAAAGACGAGAGAAATGGATAAGTAAAGGACGGCGGCCATGGCTAAATGCTAGCTTTGGCTGAATTTTGTGGATGATATATGATATATTATTTTAAGAAGCCGTTGAAAGCCATCGCTCTACCTAACATTTACTCACTCCAACTCTCCAATAAGCTATGGGATTGGCAGGTGAAGGGAACAAACATTAATTTTATATTTAGTGATGCTTTGACTCCATCTGCTTGTCTAAGTTCAATTATGTGCATGATGTCATGGAGCCCGCGGTGGGCCGTATGAAAAAGGCACGACAAGGCACAACAAATATAAAAAATAAAATTCTAATTTTTTAAAAGAATTGAAAATAAAGATGTATAATAATTCTTAATCTTAATGTTTAAGTTTGTATTTGTAATTTATAATTATAATAAATTCAATTAATATTTTAATGTCTTATTATTTTATTATATTTCTTAGAGATTTTATATTTTTTTATTAATATAAATACAAAATGTCACTAAATATAAAATATAAAATATTTTTATAAAATTATTAATAATAAATCAAAATTATCAAAATTTATAAATATTAAAATTAAATATTTTTACGAAGCACGTTGGCCTACCCATGGCACAACCCAAGGCATGACAGATATATATCATATATCTTGTCGTGTCTTGGGCCGTGCCGTGGGCCTTTAAATTTGGTAGGCCGACACAACACGATAGGACACAAATTTTTGTGGGCCTTGGCACGACACAACGGGCCTTGAATATTTAGGCACGACACGACCCATCACGAGCTCTACATGATGACAAGAAATGAAATAATTATAATAAATCTATATAGGTGTATATGTATTTTCTTGTTAATTTTATATTTAACGATGTTCTTAGTTGACGTACATGAATAATATTACATGCACAACCTAATCTCATAACCTTCTCTTACAACCTCAACGTGACAGTTGAGTTAACAACTGTCACGTCAACTCACACTTAGGGCTGTACAAAAAAATTCGATATTCGATCCGAAAATTCGGATCGGAATTTTAAAAAATCCGAATATTCGGATCGGATACCGGATCAGGAATGTTAAAAATCAGATATCCGAATCCAATCCGGATTTTACTAAACTACGTCGTTTTGAGTGTAACAATAACCCTAAGTCTAACACAATTAACTCAATTACTCAACTCTCTGTCTCTCTCGTTGGAAGCCTGGAACACGCAGTCACGCACAGTCGCACAGACCTCACACACTCTCAGACTCTCTCACTGGAACACGGCAACACGCAGTCACGCACAGCACAGACCTCACACACTCTTTGTCTCTCTCACTCTTAGTCTCTCTCGTTGGAACACGCAGTCACGCACAGACCTCACAGTCACGCACAGACCTCACAGTCTCACACACAGTCACTCAAACTCTCAGACCAGATCTCAGCTCAGTCTCTCACTCTCTCTCACTCAACTCTCTCGGTCTCTTTCGCTCTAACAGGCACAGATGCAGACATACACACAGTCAGTCAGCCACTCAAACTCTCTTAGACTTAGATCTCAGTCTCTCTCGCTCAACTCTCTCGGTCTCTCTCCCTCGAACACGCACATCGGCCAGTCTCTCTCGCTCAACTCTGTCAGATCTCAGTCTCTCTGACGATTGAAGCCCCAAATCGATCGTAAGTTAATTTCTTTAGAATTTAGAGTTTCTGAATGTTTGGTTCGTCGCCATTTTATTTAATGTTGTTTGGTTTCTTGGCTTGTACAATTTTCTATGGGATAGGATGCGAGCTATCCGGATGGACATGAGGATGCAGCGTATTTTTTAACCAAGAAGCTATTACTATGCTGGAACAAATGGTGTATACTTATTATGCAATCTTGAGTTTCTGTTTGTATGATATTTAGGTTTTTGTGATGTGATACCTGTTAGTTTAGCTGTAAGATCTCTTGTTAGTGTACAAGCGATCTTGCACTCTATTGTTTAGAGGGGTTTGGTTTAAATTTATTAGTAGATTTAAAAAAATATATCTATATATTTTAGAGATAGGTGTATGGAGCTTGAAGAAAGTGAATTAAATCTTGACACCAGACACGGAAATTACTTACATCCATATGATTGGAAGTCAAAGTTAGGGAGCATTTTGATATTGTAGCCTCATGTTGCTGTTCTGTGTTCTCTAAGCATGTTGGGCTGATCTTTCTAGCACTTGCTTCAAGTGATGTCAATGACATATTAACTCTGGATGGATATAAAGTTAAATAATGCTTTTTCTGATTGTTTTAGTATAGAGTATTTCTGGTTGGAGTCATGGTATTGCTTGCTTGTGGTGTGATCAAGTTTAGTATATGATTGGAAGTCAAAGTTAGGGAGCATTCCAAATGCATGTTGCTTTAATCGGTTTATTGAGCATATTTTCATTTTCAGTATATTGATTTTGTTGTTAATATTAAAAGTTGTTTATTGAAATGGTTTATTTGTTTTGTTTTGTTTTGTACAAGAGGATGATGACGAGTAGTTAAGGCCTAAGGGAGACAAAGCCATCTAATATGAAGATAAGCATAGCAATTTAGGCAGTTGGTCAATTCAACTAGTTGTTTTAATAATTTGACACATCAGGTGGAGCCTTGCGTCCAACAATTTCATGTTCTTCCTACTGCGCGGTTTGATGGCATGTTGGTCCAAATCTGCTGGTGTTAGTGGCTCAAAATCACAGTCATTGTCAACCAAAGAGTGCATATACAATGGTTAATCTGGTAACAAGAAACCATGTGTGAGGCGAGTAGGAATTGGCAATGAAGAATTGAAGATAGCATAGTCATTTAGGCCGTGACAGTGTTTGGACAACATAAGTTAAATGTTTTGTGCTTCATGTTAATTTTTTTAGATACTTTTATCATGAAAGGATGAAGATAGCATAGTCATTTAGGCTGTGACAGTGTTTGGACAACATAAGTTAAATGTTTTGTGCTTCATGTTAATTTTTTTAGATACTTTTATCATGTAAGGGAATTATAATTTCAATTTTATTTCTAGAATTATTTGATTTTAATAAGAAAATTTTAAAATTCGGATCAATTTCGAATATCCGATTATCTGATCCGAATAATCGGATATCCATAAAACCGAATATCCACATAATTCGGATCAGGATATAGCCTGATCCAAAAATTCAGATCGGATCAGGAAAAGCCCTATTCGGATCAGATATCCGGATTTGCACACCCCTCACACTACACCAAAAGCACTAAATTACTTTGATTAAGCACGACCATTTCTTAGGGACGAACGACCGTTCCATCATAAGGAATGACTGAGGGAACTCAACTATTTCTTATGAATGAAACAGTCATTCCTCATTAGTGAACGGTCGTTATCCCTAAGTAACGATCGTTCGTCTCTAAAGAATGATCATTCGTCTATAAGGAACGATCATTCATGTATTATACCCAAAACACTAAATTACTTTGATTAAGCACGACCGTTTCATAGGGACGAATAGCTATTCCATCATAAGGAATGGTTGAAGGAACAACCATTCTTTATGAATGAAATAGTCATTTCTCATTAATGAACGGTCATTTGTCCCTAAAGAACGATCTTTCGTTTATAAGGAACGATCGTTCATGTTTAATCAAAGTTGTCAATTGATGTAATAATACCTACTTTGTTGCCACGTTAGAGTTGTAAGAGAAGGTTGTATACTATATTCACTACATCAATAACTATAGAGCTTTGCCGAGTTGTAGTTGCTATATGTAATCAAGGATCCTGCAAAGTGCTAAACCATTTATAGCTTCAAAAAAAGGGGGGTGGAGTGGGGCACGAGATTGTGAGGTGAGGGGGAGGGGGGAGGTGAAAATGAGACCTAGAAGGCTAGAAGTAGTAGTAGGGAAACGTCCTCCTCTGGAATCAACTCTTATCTCTCCCGTAACAGTTCTACGCAACTGGTATTCTTCTTTACTCCCATGCGCACTGATTAACTCCAATCTTGCTAAGAAGGGCATGCTTGTTAACGTGTGATGTTTTTGTTGTTTTTTAGCTGATAATTAAGTAGACTATTCTATGTGTGATGGAAGCGATTTTAAATGATCGATAAAAGAACCATTTTTCCCCAAGAATTTTAAGAAAAAAACAAGTACTTCTTGGATCTCAAACAAGTGGTTTTTGGAGTGTTATTGATATAATCCACTATGCCTTTTAAATGCAGGGCCGTCTCAAGAACATTTATGACCCTAGGCAAGAATTACTTTGGGGCCTTCTAATAATATAAACATATATTAAAAAAAATATTTCAAATTTATTTTCTTGCCTTTTGAGATGCAAAATCACTAGGAGAGGTGGACGACGATCGACAGGCTAACTGGGTCAGGTTGGTGGGGGGTTTTAGAGAGCAGATGTTGGAGAAACGATGGGTGATGAAATAAGTAATTTCCAATGTCTGGATTGGCTAGAAAAGCTTGAGAAGTTGCAACCCAAAAGGTTTCGATGGCTGGCGATTTGACGGAGTAAACATATGAGGTATGATAGGGATTTTGGTGAAAGGGTTGAGGGGAGGAAGATGGTGGTGTCAGGGAAGGCCAACAACGTCGGGTACATGCTGAAAAGGTCGAAAATGGTTGTCGTGCACGATGGAGTTGGGTTATGAGATTCGTAAAAAATCGGTCAAATCGAGAGCTATCAAGGCTGGAAAAACACTTGAGAAAATGATAAAGTGATGATTCCAGTTAATTTTGGTGAGAAAATTGATGGGAATCAACTCCAAACGGCTGGTGGCGAAAGAGGGGTGGAGATAATTTATGTGAATGTCGAAATTTGGCATGGAATTAGGGTTGAGTAATTTGAGACATATAAATGATTATTTTAGTCTTTTATTGTTAAAAGAAATTTAATTTGTTAATTTAGGGGTGTAAATTGGAATATATGAAACTAGAGGTACAAACTACTATTTTACCAAACTTTGGGTGGAAATATATGTAAAAAATTTGGGTCTTTTTTTCTCCTTGTCCTGGATAAAAAATCATACATCATTTTTATTTTTGTAATATATTAAAAAATTATAAAAAATTTAGGCCCCTATTTTTGGGGGCTCTAGGCAGGTGCCTCACCTGCCTACCCCTTGAGCCGAGCCTGTTTAAGTGGTTAAGCTTCATTTGCTAACTAAAATATGGGATAGAAATGTATTTAAAAGAGC